GCAGTTAGGGTGAAGGCAGTGTCAGCCCCAGGAGCGACTGTCGAACCATTCTGTAAGTGCAGAGTTCTCAGTGCCCCTGACATCTGTCCCCTTTCTTGTTTAAAGTGAGACGTGGTACCTTGCGGAATTGGGCCTGAACCTCCGTCCCGAATGCACCCATCTTTGTGTGCACTGTCTGCTGGCAGTCACAGCCTCGGCTGCTGCCCTGCTCGTGTCAGAGATTCCCCCCGAACTGGGAGTAACTTCTTGAATGTTCTGAAATTTACACAAAGGGTTGCAGCTGCTGGGTTAAATGGTTTCCTAGTGTGAAGGGAAAAGAAAACCTTGGGTTGGCTATTAGGGGAAATTCCTTCCCAGAAAGGGCTGTCAAGCCCTGAACAGGCTGCCCAAGGCTGTGGTGGAGTCACCATCCCTGGGGGCATTCAAATGACCCGTAGATGCGGTGCTCCAGGGTTTAGTGGTGGACTTGGCAGTGCTGGGTGCGAAGGAGCTGGTGTTCGGGGGAGCCTGAGCTGGGATGGGGGGCAGTGAGTGAGCGGCTGCATGGGTCTGACTTAGCGTCTGGCCTTAAAGCACAACACTGGGTTAGACTTGCTCGTAAGGGTCTTTTCCAAGCTAAATGACTCTTTGAGTCTCTGAAATGACATCCAGGTGCCAGGACAAAAGAGGTTAAAAGGGAGCTGCAAAGTCAGGATCCGGAGAGCAGACGCCGGGAGAGGCAGGTGGGAAGGGACAGTAGTAGTGTAAGGACTGAAGGCAGGAGGCGCAGTTGTGAATGGTGGCATGTGGAGCGGGGGAGCCTCCAGCAGAGCCTTGAAGGGAGCTTGGGCTGTCTCAGTGTCGGCTGGCAGTTGAAGGTTATCAAAGAAATAGCAGGAAGCTCTACTACTGGTCTCCTGTTCATTATCTCAGCTGTGGTAGAGCTTTTGTCACAGGTTTCCTTTCCTTAGAGAGCTTCTGTCTTGGTGCCTTCAGCACACAAGGGTGCCACACCTGAGGTGTCTTTGCCTGAGCTCTCCAGTTTCCACCTGGATTCGTGGCTGGACACGTTCATGCGGGACATGTTTTGGAGTGTTTCCAGAGGCTGGCTGCCTGGAGAGCCAGTTAGCACTCGGGGCTCCTATCCTCCCTGAGTGGGTTGTAAAGCCCCAGCTGGTGCGTGTTGGTTTCAAACTGAGGGCTCCACGTTCCCCGCCAAGCCGATGTGAGGATTTGCTTTGCGTGTGGCCGAGAGTCTCACGGATAGCTTTTGTTTCCGGCAAACGCTGTGCGGCAAACGTGTGAAGCTCCTGGCAGCTGAGATGCCCCGGGAAGTTGGGTGGCCTTGGCTGGTGCGTGTGCCCGTGTGCGCAGGCTTAATGGGTCCAAAGTCATCGATGGGTGCTCAGCAGGGCCAGCGAAGTCGGAATGAAATCGTTGCTTTGTAGTTAGTGTGGAGGCTTTTTTCTTTCCTCCTGAAGCAGAGAAATGATTGTCTCCTCTGCAGTGTATAAACCAAGTGATCTGACGCTGACGGAGCGTGAAGAAATGCTGCTGTGAGGTGCACTTGAATCCTGCTGCAGGCCTTCACTGCGGGGAGACCTTGAAGGCGTAGGGGGGCGCTGCAGGGATCTGCGAGGCTGTAACTTTAGCAAGGCCCTGCAGTGGCCGTGGAAGCAAGCCAGCAGAGGAGAGACAAGGTGGCCGAGAGTGATAGCGAGAGAGCTGGAGGCAGGAAGCACGGTCCCCACTCCAGGCTGGAGCTGGAGAAATGCCAGAGCCACAAGTGGTGGCGGCCTTGGTGTGGAAGCGGTGCGGGGGGGTGAGCACCTTCTTGACAGGGCGTGTGGAGCTCGCCTATTGTGACGTAGAGGGGAGCTGCTGCTGTTAAATGCGAGCAGCAGCCGTGGCGCAGTCAGAGCAGGAGTTGCTCAGCCGCTGAGACAGGAGCAGGCTTGAGCTACTGTGAGGCTCTGAGCTCTGCTTCCTCGAGGCGCTGGTGAAAGCCTGCCCTAGGTGGCAAAGGCAGAGCATTGAGGAGAGGGGCTGGGCAGCCCAGGTCCACGCCCTGTCCTTTGCTGCCCAGGTTCCCCTGGCTGTTGGCAGCCCAGCAGCAGTTATCTTCTGTGCTGGTGGGCAACAGCCACCCCGAGGCGTCCCTGGGCAGCTCCTGTCCCTCCAGCTGCCCACAGCTGCCGAGCAGCGCGAGGGCATTCAGGAGCCAAGGCTGGGCCCTGCCCGGAGGAATCCTCCAGGAGAAGCGTGAATCACCCGTCCTCAGGTAGCGTCTGGCCCTGGGCAGCAGGGAGGAGGCGGCTCCGTTGGCAGCAGGGATGGGGCAGTTGTGTGATAGCCGGCAGGATTTAAATGTCCCTGGGCTAAGAGCAGGGCTGGGCAAGTAGAAGGGCTTGGAGGGGCTCTGCAATTGCCGTGCAGCTTGCAGTGATGGTAGAGACTTGGAGCTAGGCTGTAGGTCCTGCAGCAAAGGGAGCCTTGGCTGTCTGAGGTGGGGAGCAGGGAGCCACGGCAGGGGGCGGGGGGGGCTGGAGGGGTGCTGTGTCCTGGTTGCTGCTTTGTCCTGCCCCTGCACGGAGATGTGCCCCGTTGCTCCGTTGTGCTCCTTTCCTGCTCCTCTGGGAGGTTGGTCCCTGCGGGCTCTGCAGCTGTGGAAGAGCCTTGCTCCAGGGCTCGGGGGGAAGCTGCTGGGCTGGCTGGGATGTGGAGGTTGGAAGCCCTCTGGAAATAAGCGTTGTGGGGGTGACGACAGGTTTCCTTTCAAGTGAAGTGAAATCACAGTTTGGAGAATTGGAACGAATGAGCCCGTTACTCTCAAGACCCGGTAAGAAACCACTCAAATCCAGATCAATGTTGGATCATCCCCGTTAGGTTTCTCCCCTGAAAAGGAGTTATTTCCACCTCTAAATCCCAGCTCTTGCTGCAGCAGGGCCTCCTGTCCATAGGGTGGTGCAGAGCTCTGGTGTTTCTTGCAAGAACAAAAGGGAACGGTAGCCTTGTTTCCTGAAGCTGGGAAGGGCCCAGCACCACAAACACGTGCAGTGCTGTAGCTGCCTTGGGAGTAAAGGAATGAGGTGATTGCATTGCCTTGCAGAGCGTGGGGAACAGTCGAGGGGCAGGGAATGGCCATCTTTGCCTAGATGCTGTCTTGCTGTGTGTGCGCAGTAAGTGCACGCAAGAGAGGTGATGTGGAACACAGGGAAGCGGGAGGGAATATCATCCTGGATTTTACTTAGATTTGAGCTAATTGCTCATGTGCCTTTGATGGTTTCCTGCTTTTTTCCTGCTGTGACAGCCTGGAATGCCTGTAGGAAGCCTCGAGTTTGGGTGTTAAGAAGCGGAAATGAGGGCGTCCTTTGACACAGAGAAATGCTCTTGGGCAGTGGGGTGATTTGATGCCTGGAAGGAGGCGTTTTTTGCCAGATAACCTTTGTACCTTCAAGCAGGCAAAGTAGCCTTGAGAAACTCTAGTTCTTAATCAGGGTCTTGAGCTGTGTGCTGCGTTAGTTAGAAACAGGAGCAGGCTCCTTGCAGAAAGGGTGAGAAGTGCCAGCAGCCCCTGGAGTGTCTCTGTGGCTGGTGGGAGTGCCCCCAGAGCAAAAGGCTGTTTTGGCTCAGGGGCTGTTTGTTGTGGGGTTTTCCGTCTATGACTGGAGCCTAAATATGGTCTAATGATGAGTGAGGGTGGGGAGGCCCCGTGTTCTCTGCTTAGGAAGGATGCCAGAGGCTGGAGACACAGCTGAGTCCTTTGGGTGTGCGAGGAATGGCGAGGCCCTGGCACAGGTTGCCCAGAGAAGCTGTGGCTGCCCCATCCCTGGCAACGTTCAAGAGCAGGTTGGACACAGGGGCTTGGAGCAAGCTGGTCTAGTGGAAGGTGTCCCTGCCCGTGGCAGGGGGTTGGAACTGGGTGAGTTTTAAGGGCCCTTCCCTAAGGTTGCGGGGTTCCACGGGTCCAGGGTTTTAAGGTTCTGGGGTTGTGGATTGTCCAACTGTTGCTTCTTCCAGGTGACCTCTGCGACATGGCCAGTGGCAAGACCCCGCGGCCCCTGAGGTCCTCCAGAAGGGCGGATGGATTCCAGAGCAGAGTGGTAGCATCTCGTAATCCAAAGGTGGTCAGAGAGGCAGAAGAGTCTCTCAGCAGCAAGCAGAGGCTGGCCAGCCCTCGGGAGATGAGGCGGCGCCGGCCTCTCCAGCTTCGGGACGTGGGTGACGTCTCCCATCAAAAGGTAGCCTTTCCCTGCCCTTTTCCTTGCTGTTTGATGTGACATTTGAAGAGGGCACGTGCTTGGGGCAGGCTTGCCTCCAGCTCACCCGAGCAGCTTGGTGATTAGGTCCTGTTGTCATTTCCAACTGGTGGTGGTGGAGTTCTTTCTGCTGGGGGAAAAGCAAACCGTGTTTCTCCAGTGAGCCATTGAAGTCCTTATCTGCACGAAGCCAGTGGAAGCTCTCCTGCAGTTGGTGGGTTTTGCTGGAGTTGAGCTACCGTCGCTAAAGCATGCTAGTGGGGGAGGGCTGGGGCAGGAGACAAGGGCAGGAGCTGCTGTTCCTCATCCTGCTCTTCAAACAGCCACCTCTTGCTTTGGTGTAGTCAAGTGCCCCGTGCATGGGGTGACAGGACTCCCTCAATGGTGGCAGTAGTGGCCTTTGAAGGCTGAGGGCCTGTGGCAATTACTTAAGCCGTAACAAACCCAATTGCATTAATGCTTTGGTTTGTAAGAAGGCGTGGAACCCTTCCAGGGTGTTTGAGTTTTCAGTCTGCTGGCTACCCAGGGGAATCGCCCTGGGCAGAGGAGAGTGGATGCGCTTTACCTGGCTCAGTGCTCTCCTAGATGGATGTTTAAAGCTGCTTTTCTTGCAGGACTGCTCATTCTAACACACAGTCCAGGTGGGTGCATGACTGAGGTAGGCTGTTGAGCAGAAAGTTGCCAGCAAGAGACCTGTATCACATCAGTTAAGGGTTGCCCCAGACAGCGCACGAGGTGGGAACACGTAAGACGGGCGCCCAAATGACTGGCAGTGCTACAGCTACTGGCCTCAGCCTGACCGTGGAGAAGCAGGAGACCTGCCTGTGTCTCTCGAGTGGCAGCAGTGCAGCTGGGAGAGGGGAGAGCAAGCAGGGAGGAATTATCTGCAAGTAATGCCTCTGCTGGGTCAGCGTTTGGTCTTTGTGTGTATTTTTTCAGAGCTGCTTCTGCAGCAGTATTAAATAAACCAGCAGTAATAGAATACAGAGAAGCATCAACTTCAAGCTCACGGGGAAAGGGGATACGAATTACAGTCTAGCTCCAGTTGCCCAGTAATGCTGGGGAAAGAGCTGAACTTCATCCCCATCCAGCATTCACCTCATTTGTCTGTTTCCTGACTGCCCTGTTACTTTCTTGTTGGCCTTTCCTCCCTGGTACTGGTGTCTTGCAACTGGTTTCTGGGCTCTACATCAAAAAAAAGATACTTGGGATGCGTGGGACTCAGTCTTGCTGCGTCAGGGGGAAGTTCACCCGCAAATTGTTTCCTGTGGAGGCCCATGGAAACTCGTGGGTTTTGCTTGCTCCCCGAGTGCTCGTGGCTGTTCCAGGAAGTGTCTGGAGCTGAGTGAGCACCTTAGCAGAGGGCTCTGCTGGAGGTGAGCGCTGCTTTTCCTTTTGGAGAAGGCAACGTGGAGAAACAGCCTCCAAAAGAGCTTCTTAGCTTGAGGCTGCTCAAGCTGGTCCAGAAAGCTTTGCTCAGCTGAGAGCAGAGGTGGGTGAGCTGCCATCTCCTAGTGTGAGCTGGGCAGATGTACTCGCCAAGAGATTGTATTTACCGGAGATCAGTGTGGGATCTTCATTCGTCGATGTTTCTGCCAGCAGCTGAAGCTCTCTCTGCTCTGTCTTGCGTCTGCAGTTGTCAGCAGTTGACGTGGACCAGAGGTTGTTCCAGCCTTTCCCATCCGAGGTGGTGTTTGAGAACTACGTTCCCCAGCAGTTCTACATAGCGGCGCTAGCTCTGAGGAACACGGACAGGGTAAGTGCTGGGCTGTGGAGGTTGAGCACTGGGCTGGAGGAGGAGAGCAGTGGAATTCACACGGTGTGCAGCAGAGCAAGTTACCTGCTGCAGCACATCGCATGCAGAATCCAGTGTCTCACCAGCGTTATTCTGCAAATGGGGGAAATGTTCCCGTGCTGGGGGTTCTGCCGCTGGTTTTGGCCGTGCACTGGTGGTATCTAAGCCAAAGGAGTTTTTTGAGCCAGCGTGCTTGCCCTTGAAAGCCCTGCTCTGATGGGAATGTCGAGGGCTGTGCAGTTCTTGCCTGCTGTCATGCTTTACCTCGAGTGCGCAGCGTATCCCGCTGGCTCCTTGGTTAATGTTGGTTTCTGGCAGGGCATGTTTCCCTCTCTCAGCCTGTTCAGCCACGTGTGTGCAGCTCCCTGTCACAGCACAGGGGTTGAGTCTTCTCCACTTTGTGCTGGAGTAAGTTGTAACTGCTGGCATTAGCACTCCAGGCCGGGTGTTTCAGAAGAGCAGTGGAAAGAGGCTGGCTTAGCAGGAGCAGTTAAAGGGGAGGACTTGAGGTGCCACTTGAGGCTCCTGCTAAGCTTAGCTCAGTTCTGCTCAGGTGTTTCTAAGGCAGCGTGGCTGTGCGTTCTCTTTGGAGAATCCCAGCACGGGCAGGGTAATGTGCTCCAGAAGGTCTCCAACTTGAGCTGGAAAGATTGTGATCCTTTGGAGATGTCCTGAGAAACTTGAGCAGGGAAAAGTTGAGAAATGTCAGCAATTTTGTTCTGCTCTGCTGTAAAGGGGGAAATGGAGAGCTTTTGAATTTCAGTTGGGGAAACATTTGCTCCAGAGAGGCATGTGCCAAGAGCAAGCTGATGGGAAAAGACAGGAGGGAGGAAAGGGGCTGAGTTGAGTGTCCTGTCCCGGAGCACTTTCTTCCACACAGGGATTCTCTCGGTACGTAACAGGAAGTGTGCTGGAAGCAGAGAAAGGTCAGAAACAGGCGTAATTCAAGCTCCTGTTGCGTAAGAAAGAGCAAGATGTGTGCGTGAGAGGAGGGCACGGGGGAGGTGGAAGTGTGCAGGTGAATTAACCCCCTCCTCAAATCCCCCTGTTGGGAGAAACAAAGAGGGGGACAAAAGGAGTGACACTGTCAGGGCTTAATGTAGGGGGAGGAAGAGCAAGAGAAGTCAAAGTTATCTCCTGAGAGAACAGGTTTTACAGGGACGTGGTGGAGCATGGAAGACCCTTTGGCAAGAAAGGATGAAGGTATGGTCGCTCAGTTACCCCCAGAGAGTTGTGTATCGTTCCTGGTATAGCTTGGGAATACTGGGAAGTTGCAGCGTGGCTACCTATGCCCAAGGGACACCAGTGGTGTGTTTCACAGTGACTTTGGGCAATCTTTGCTGTAGGTGTAGCCTTTGCTTATTAAAATGGGCCTCAGTTTCTCTTTTCCTACTGCTCTGCTTCATTCCCACTGTGTCTTTTGGCTTCAGCTGCTCCCTCATCCATGCAGCACCGCAGAATGTTTGCCTTTGCCAAGTAGCAGCGAAGAGGCAAGCAGTGAATTTGCTCTATTCGTGCTTCCCAAGTGGAAAACAACATCTGCACTGATGTTGGTGCCATTCCCAATAAAACGTAATAGGCGGGTACAGCTGCAGCTTGGGATTTCTATGCCCTGTGAAGGGGAGGCAGTGTGTGAACTGTTGATTTTAGCCCAAATGTATTAGTTGTGAAGCTAGTACGACCTCAGGCATTGGACGGCCCTGGTGTAAAAGGAAGATCAGCTCTAAGGAAAAGCCTTGTCATCTTTAAATGCGCAAAGCTAGAGATGATAATGCCAAGAGAGCGTATCATGTTCTAATTTTGCTGGGTTTTGGTCATGTCCTGGAGAAAAGGACCATTGCGCTCTGTCTCAGGAGTTCCCCAGACTCCTCTGAGTCCTACTGATGTATCCTGCCTGGTGCTGAGGTTGTCTGCTCCCTAGAACTGCAGCTAGCAGCAAAGTGTAGGAGAGGCAAAGTGTAATGGAGCCCAGTAGGTGCTCTGTAATCACTCCAGTACGGAAGTGCTTCGCTCTCTGCTCAGTGCTCTTGCCTACTTGCTGTGGAATTGCTTTCCTGTCTTCAGGCTGCTCCTCCCCACCCTCAAGAGGTGCCCTGGGTGGCTCCTGCTGAAGATCTTTGCCACCTGGGCTCACGTGCCAAGGGATTTGGCGACCGGAACGTGTGGCTGCAGTGGGAAATGGGCTCCTGGAGCTGTCTGCCCCAGGGCATTGCTGGGAGCAAAGGGTGTTTAGAGCGTCCAGGGCTGCCTTGGCCATGGGTTATGAGGCTTGGGTCGGGGGTGCAGAATGAGCCTCCCTTTTTTCCAAGCCTCGTGTGTTCATCAGTGGAGCTGCCTGTCATTCAAAGTCTCCTTGTTATACTTTATGAGCTGGGATTGGGTGCTGGGGGGTTGCTGCCTGTGTGCTAGAGAATGCCTGTTTGCTGTCCCCGTGCCTGTGGTATCGCAGAGGACAGACACTTGCAGCAGGATGCCTGCAGGAAAGGCTGGCTCTGAGGAGGGATACCCAGAAATGTGGCTCTCCTGCACTGGCAGAGGCCTGGCTGCAGTCCCCAGGCAGCAAGAGCCTCCAGAGAGCTCAGGGTGGCTTTCGGTGATGAAGCCACCACAGTGTGAGGCAGTGCTGGCCACCTATCTCAAAGCAGAAAGTGCCTTTGAGGACCATCATTGGTAGGCACGGCCTGTGGGGGTTCATACAGGCACGTTAGTTCTCATCTCTGCACCAGCCTTTCCTTTTGTTATGGATCTCCCTTGCTGCTTTGCAGCCCCCTTTAAATTCTCTTTGCCATCTGCTTCCTCCTGGGGATGGTTGCTCTTGAGGTAAGCTTTTATTCTCAGGAAGGCCAGAGTGTTTGTGGTCTCCTTCTCTTGCTGGTCCACCCCCATGAGTAGCACCGCAGCTTGACCGCCGCACTCCACGCTGGTGTGTCAGAAGTGACTTCCTTCCCGCCCCCTCCCCCCCCCCCCCCGTATAACCCACGCTGGGTTGCCTTCAGATAATACATTCCGCCTCCAGAGGCATGATTGCACGGGTGTGTGCAGGCAGAAGCAGGCATGTTCTCTGGGCTTGTTGAATGACTTGAGGTACTGCATCTCCTTCCTGCTTCCTTCACAGCAGGGCATGTTGTTCCTACGGCCTCTGTCCTGCAGCTATGTAGCTAAGCAGAAGGGATTCAAGTCCACCCTTGTGCGTTACGCAGAGCTAAAAGTGTTTTGGAAAGGTGGTAAGGAAGGATGGCACGTGGCCCGTCCTGGTCCCTTCTCATGTTTCCACAAGCGACAAAATCATAGTTCTGTGTCTTTCCTGCAGGTTCCTCGTCTGCTGAACGTCATCCTGGGGAACTCTCCTTACTTCGAGTTGATCAGCCCGAGTGATGAGGACTATAAGGTAGCACCGGGCATGTCTTCAACCTACCGCATCCTTTTCAGACCTGATGAGAACAAGGTGAGACTGAAGGTCTCGAGAGATGGCGCCTTGAGGGGAAGGGGAACCTGCAGGGCTGGATTCCAAAGCAGGCATCTGGTGTGTGTTTTGAAGAACTGGTGCTGGGTTCAGTAGGGTTGCACTGGATCTAGACGTGGGGGAGACTCTTTCCTGGTGGTGAAGGTTGTGCTCCCGTAGGCTGGAGGCTCTTGCCAGTTTCAGGCTGTTTTCTCCTTCCGTGGTGGAATATCTAAGGTAATGTCTGTTGGCTTCAGGGCCGAGAGTCTGCTGTCTGTGCATGGCCTTTTACTCATCTTCTGTTTGCTGCTTAAATGTAGTTGAATACTCTGTGCAATCCTCAAGCAGCATGCCTATAGAAAACTAAAGAGGACCTGCCCCATGGTCCCTGGCTGCCCCTGCTTGTGCAATAATGTGTCATGAAAGGCCATGAAGGTAAAAAGTGCGAGTGCATTATGGAATGCTACTGCGAGAGTCCCAGAAAGCAGCAGCTCTTCTTCTGCCATGGGCATGGTGCTAAAGGCACTGTGCTGAGATTGTTTCTTTCCCTGCAGGATTATTTCGACGAGCTTATCATCATCACAGAGAGGGAGAAGTTCTTTGTGCCTATCCGAGCCATAGGTGCCCGAGCCAGCCTGGACTTCCCTGAGCAGCTGAACTTCTCCAACTGTCCAGTCAGGTTCAGCACCCAGAAAACTCTGCTGGTGCGCAACGTGGGGAATCGGGAGGCTTGCTACAGCATCACCACTCTGAGGTAAAGGAGCTCATGTCTTGTGCAGACGCTGTTGCGTGGTCATGGAGTTGTAAACAGTGAGAAAAAGGAGGCAGAGTATCTGAGGTGCTGGACATGGGCAGGATCCGTGGGGTTTGCCATTGCTTAGAGTGTTTTGAGAAAGCTCTGCAAGCAAGTTTTACAGTGCAGTGGTGTCTCCAAGGCAGCATCTTGCAGGTCTGATGCTGTTAGATTGGAAGAGCCAAGGTAGGAAGGCAGCTTGACTGCTGAAGAAGGTGCTGCGTGGCAGAGGAGAGCTCGAGGGGCTCAGGTCACGGAGGCCAAACGCAGCATCAAGAAATGGGCGAGCAATGAGCTGGTGAGAGGCACTGAAGAGTTCATCAGCAGCTGTGTCTACATTAGCAAGCAGAGATCATAGATGAAAGCAATTGCTGTGGAGGCCCTGGCAATACGAGTGTGTGGTGCGGGGACTTTGTTTTCCCGTGGGCTTGGTCTGATGCCTGGGACCAAATATGCCTAAGCAGAAGGAGCTCTGAAGTGGAGAGGAGCAGGCAGTGCCTTCAGAACTGGACTACAGCCCAAACCAGAAAGCTAGGGAGGGTGCAGGTGAAAGATACTCCAAGACCTGCTATTTGCAATGCACTTGCCAACTACTCGCTTGGGTGCTAGAGCGTGTGTCGAGAGCTCCTTGACAAGGGTTTTAGGAGTTCCCCAACTTCAGCAATGAACTATTTCAGTCCCGATTTGCAATAAAGAAATGGGAAGCATTACAGAAGTTTGAAGTGAACTCCACAAAAAAGTGGAATTCTGAGTAACTGGATTGCACGTGTGCAGAGGTGGAGAGCTGAGAACTGAGAACTGGGTGCAGAGTATGGGGGCCTGAGGTCATGTTATGCCCCGGGATCTTCTGAGGTCTGGTTCTCTTCAGCAGGGAGAGTCACCCGCTCTGTTTCTGATCCTGGATGTTCTGGTTTTGTTGTACCGACGGTGGTTTGCTTGCTCCTTGCTTGCACAAGTGAGCTGAAGTGAGGTGGACTGCAAAATTAACGGAGGGCCCAGATCTCCCGTACAGTCCTGATCTCTCTCTTTGCCTTGCAGCCCGTTCTCTGTGGATCCCTCCATTGGGACTCTTGGCGTTGGAGAAGCGATGCAAGTCACGGTGGAATTTCACCCGCCAAAGACCGGTGTTTATTCCAGTCCCATGATAGTTCATTATGACACAGGTAAGTGCGTGGTGCACCCTCTGTGTGTCCTTCCAAACAGAGCGGTGTCTGCACTGTCTGTCATCATCTGATGGCTTCATTGTCCGTTGAATCCCTTCTGCAAGGCTCCTTCACACTGGGTAGAGCAAAGCTTCCATGCTGGCTGCCAGATATTCCTGGGCTGGACTATTTCAGCCTGTAACAAGGCCGGCAGATCTTCCTAAGCACGGTGCACAGGGGGCGACGGTGAATATTCTGAGTGCTCCATTGCAGAAGGGTGCATAGCAAGGAGCCTGATTGAAAAGGAGATGGCTTTTAACGTGCAGGAGAGCTGTCTGAAGAGCCTGCAACCTGTCCCGTAGAGCTCTCCTGACTGGTCATTGCTTTTCATCCCGATCTGTTGTGTTACAGTTCCTGGCAAGGCCTTTGAGGTAGAGACCCTCTTCTTGTGATGTGCCGCGTGGGTGCAGTGGGTGCTGTGCTGAGAGCTGGGCCATGCTGAGGACTTGTGACCGTGAGGAGCAGTAACTGTGGCAGCGGTAGCCATTAGGGTGCTCTGAGCTTTGCTGTAGCCTGGGAATGATTCTGTAGAAACCCCCATGTTAGCAGCAGTTATTTAATGGTGGGGTTTATGAACAAGCTGCTGCTAGGGCTGGAGTCAGTAATGTGAGGGGGGTAATGATGTCTGAAGGTAGGTTGTGAAGACCACCTTGGAGAAACACTTTGAAATGGCTGTGCTGCTGTGCGTGTTGCTCTGGTGCTGGAAGTCTCCAGCTTTCCAGAGGACACTTACCCTAGTGAAGGGACTCACTTCTCCAGTGGTGAAGTGGTAACAGCAGCACGTTTGACAAGGAAGGACGTGCTGGCAGTGGTGAGGCACTCGGCTGTGAGAGTAGCAGGAGCAAAAGAAGGAGTTGGCAGGTGGATCTGAGGGCCCAGTAGCACCCTTTTAAGTGCAGAGCTCAGCACAGAAGCTGCTCTGTGCTTTCCATTGTTCCTTCTTCCCTTCTCCATTTCATTTCAAATGCTCCCGCTCGGATTCTGAGATGAGAGCTCTGCCCAATCTTTCAGGACCAGGAGATGAGGATGAGACGACACGGGGGCATCTCCTGCCTGCAGGAGAGCGTGGGCAAGGGTTGACTGAGGTGAGGGTCCTCAGCGTCACTGAGTGACTTGGATGTAGAATTCCCTGTGAGCTGAGTGGGATGGCGGCCCAAAGGCAGCTGGGCAGAAGTGAAAAGTCTCACTGTAAATGCTGTCACCTTGGGGATAAACCTCCACGAACACCCCCCCAGAATAAGGTGCCTAAGGTGGTGCTAGGACATCCTCATGCTGTACCGTGTGCAGCTGTCAGGATATGATGTATGTCCAGGTGCGGGGAACTGCTGATGCAGCTCAAAGCTGCAGCTCTTTCTTCCGTTGCCTGCAGATTGCTCTGTTCCTTGTACTTCCATCAGCGAGTGAGATGAGCTGAGTCTTGCCTTTGCTTTGTTCCAGGTGAAGATGTTCACAAAAGCCTTTGTGGAAGAGCTGTAAATGTCAACATCAGGCTTGACAAGAGCTCCTTGACGGTTGAGAAGACTTCCGTCACGCTGTCAAACCAAAGATGCGTGGTCATCCACAATCAGAGTGCCATCACGGCTCACTTCCAGTGGAAGCGTTCTGTTGATCAGGAAGAGGAGGAGCGGCAGAAGCTGAGGTTTGTTTGAGAGATTCACCTCAGAAAGATAGATGCCCCAGGGGAAAACTAACGCACAGCCTCAGAGGGCTGTTGGGGCTTTTGAACGGATTAGGGCCCATGAAGCCATGCACAGCGTGGAGCTTAACCCTTGCCATTCCAGTGCCACCCGTGCTACAGCTGAGGATGATGTTCTGGGGAGAGAAGGTTGATTGCAATCCCTGGATTGCCTCAGAGGGCAAATTCACATTTGGGAGCCGCAGACTATTGAGTTCAGAGCTCCGTGCACTACGGAGGGTCCGTGAGGCTGAGGAAGGTGTCGGCACTCGGTACCTGGGACTGCACTGAGCAGTAGCACTGAAGAGCTGCAGGTGGCACAACTATTGTGATAGTCAAGCGGTTTCTTCTTTGATAAGCTGGCAGGCTCCTTTTGCAGTCACACGCAGGGTAGAGTGCTTAGTTGGCCCAGAAGGTGGAGGCCGACCTGCTGTAGGCTGGGGAATTGCCTTTCAGTGTCCTGGTTTGTGGCCCCTCCTCCCAGTGCAGGAGGCTTTTTCTTGAGGGCTGCCAGCTTTAAGAAACCTCTTGTTAGCTTGTCAGTGAGGAGTAAAAGGCCCTGCTGTGCTGGGAACGAGGGGAATAATGGGATCCATGTGGGAGCCCCTGTCTCAGGGCAGCCCCATGCAGAGCTGCTGCTCTTCCTCCCCAGGTGCTTTGCTGCTCATGCACAGGCTCTGCAAATGTGCTGCTTCTTCAGTTATCTGTTTGGCTCGTCTCTCCCATGGCACAGGCTGCAGAGGCAGGAAGAGGACAAGCTGGTTGATGTTCCTAAGGAGCACGGGGTGGTGCGCCCTCTCGGAGAACAGCCTTCCCTTCCCATCTGCACCTCCCAGAACCAGGGGACAGAGGTGCAGGGAGACTCCGTGCCTTTCTGCAATGATATTTTCACCATTGTGCCCATGGTGAGTGATGGCTGAGAACCTCCCTTCCTGCTCCTCCTCCTTGTCATCTCTGAATGAGGTCCGTTGGCAGATCCCACGTCAGCTGCTTGATGTGCCAAGAGAGGAGACCTCAGGTTTCTGGTGAGGCTGGGGGCGCTTGTTGCAAAAAGCCTTTCTGAACAGCAGCAAGAGCCGCCCCCAGGCTGGGCTCTGCTGCAAGGGCTGTGAATTAAGGGCACTTTGTGAGTGTCTTCACAGTGGCCAGAGGTTATCAGTTATTCTCTGTAAGGACACGTTTCCACGTAGCGCATGGGGCTGAAGAAAGGACACTGGTGCACTGTTGGTTCACATACTGACCTGCAGAATGAAATGGTCCCCTGTGGAAAGGAGCCCCCATTGAGCCCAGGTTTAATCACGGGAACAGCAATCCCTTCCTAAAACCTGGATGTATACCACATCTGAGTCTCCCTTCCAGTGTCGTCTGTGAGCCTGGACACGAGGCTCTCAGATTTAAACAGGCTTTTTGAGTTCTACTGCAGATAGGTAGAGAAAAGTGCTCCCTTTCCTGGTGATGCAAGCAAAACGCCCATGTCCTTCAATCAGCCAGAGCCGTCGTTCTGAATAGTTGCATGGTCTGGGATGAAGAATGCCTGCTGTCTGAGCAGTGCAACATCCCTTCTCATCTTGGAGTAAAGCCTGGAATAATCCCAACCTCTTCTTTCTTTTACAGTGGGTGAAACTAGTTTATTTGTTTTATTTTGTTTTCCGAGGAAGGGGCTGCTGTTCTCTTCTCGGTTGCTCCTGCAACCCATGTAAGGCTGAGAGCCACCAGTGTGTCAGAGCAGCAAGGATATCGGGGAGAGTGGGAGCTGCTGAGCTGAGCATTCAGAGCATCCTGTGGTGTGTCAGAGCTGGTTCTGGAGTGTGCCCCAGGGCTCCTGCTTCATTACGGTCACTATGTCTCCACAATGAGCTTCACCTGCTCTTGAGCTCCTGAGGTGCATTAAGGGGAGCTCTGGAATTCTGGCCGAGTCCTGTCCACATCAAGATGTGATGATGTAGCGACATGAAGCCCCAAGCTGGGAGTGGAAACCTTTCCTAAATGGCCGTGTTTCTGTGACACAGTTTGCTCTAGGGCTGAATCAAAGCAGGCTCCTACACGAGTCTCTCCCCTGCTGTCTTGTGCAGTGTTATGACATCCTTTTATGCAGCAGTTCTTTTTCCTGGGGAGTAGCAGGCACGTGAAGAACCTCTTCAACAGCCTATTGGAATTTCCCGAGAGAAATAACGTTCTGCTTTTATAGCCTGCCATAGAGCAGGAATGAAGGGAGAAGTGACGAAGGGTTTCCCATCATAGTTCTGTCTTTAAAGAATGGGGTTTGGCCATGGACTAGTAGGATAAATAGGATAATAATAATAGTAGGATAAAGTGATGATTTCTCCTGGCCTTCCGTCATTGGAGTCAAACGCTCTGGCTTACAGCTTCACTGCCAATGCAGGGAACATCTCTGTGGATGGACTGCCAGAAGTTTCCACCCCGATACGCTGAATCCCGCTGGATGGTGATTTCCTGTCAGGAGCTCAAGAGACCTGAGCCTGTTAACTGCTGGGCCGGTTCTCTTGGGAGCGAGGATACGAATGCAAGGCTCCAGTAGGGGTGCTGTATTAGCATTGTTCCTGAGAGCTGTGCTGATCCCTGGAAAAGGAGAGGCCTTAATGCTAGTCCATAAGCTTGTTCCTCAGGTGCCTTAGAGGAGTTTCATCTGCTGTGCCTTGGGACCCAGCAGCACCTTGGATGTATGGAGATGTGTCCCTTGTGAGGATCGTGATGCATGAGTGGATGGCTTCCTGGTGCTTGGCGGATGGCAAGACATCATCCCTGGCAAGGGGGTTTGTGTGCTTCACCCTCCTCTGATTAGCTTGTAAAGGAAGAAATGGCACGTGCCCAAAGCTCAAAGCTGCCTCCTGCACTAGTTAACGAGTGCGTACAGAATGATCCCAGCAATCGGTGTGGTCTTGGTATGGAGCAAATCATGCCCCTAGGGACTTGACCACTCTGAGAAACTCCTTTAGAGTCCTCACTGTTTGAGATGCACCTTTGCGGTGTTCTCCAGGTTCTTGCTGAAACTGTACTTTTTGGTGCAGTGGCAGCTCACCGTCGTGATGTTGAGTTTGAGTTATGTGGGGCTAGGATCAAATGCAGAGTCAGACAGATGCCTTGAGGCACTGAGCCAGCTCCAGTTGCCCTGGCAAGAGGAACGGGGAGGCAGGAATGGGAGGAGGCCGGGAGAGCAAGGGCTTTGTGTCACGGGCAGTGTCTCCTGCCCCACACGGAGAGTTTCTCTAGGTTTTGAGAAGATTGCAAGTGACTTTCTTCTTTCAGACTTTTCCAGTTACTGGTCGGTTGGTGTTTGAAAGGGTTCTTCTCTACCTGTCCTTCGCCGTGTTCTCCTGACTCAGAGCAGGTTGTGCATTGGGGATTTTTTTACAGCTGGAGGCCAATAACTTCCCATGCTCTAGCTCTTTAATTTTTGTGGGGGCTGTCCTCTAAGCTGTAAGTGCTGTGTCAGTGGGAAGAACCGTAGCTAGTGAATATTTATGCTGCAGGAGTGCTGGAGGCTCCACTCAGTTCAAGGCCGTTCTGGGCAAATTCCTGAGAATACCCAACGGCAGAGCAGAATCAAAGCCTGGCTGTGCTGCTAGAAAAGCGACTCTGTTCTTTTTATCTGCTTCTGTAAACTAAATATTTAATTCTTGTAGGGCAGTATTACAGTTGCCAGAGGTGTAGCTACTTAGGTCAGCTGTCTTTGTAATGCTAAGGGCTGAAGGGCTGTAAGAGGTGCCTTTGCTTAAACCAGTTGCAGGAAGCGAGAGCCTATAGAAACCAGGGATGCCTCCTGAAATGTGTGACAAGGCTTCCTGGGACTGAGCACCAGTGCCAGGATCCTCTGGGAGAGCAGCGGAGAGAGAAGACCCTGAGGAAGCAGCAGACAGTTGCAGAAAGTGGTAGCGTGGCCCAGACTTAAATCCCTGAGCAAGAGCTCAATCTCTTCTGAGGGTAACAAAATGCCCCTTGCGGGTGCCAGTAAAGGCGAGGGACTTTGGAAGGTGTTTCTACAGCTGCTTGCAAGCTCTCCTATAAATTCTGTTGACAAGTGTCGCTTGCTCCTTGCTCTTTGCTGGTGCTCTAAAGAAAGGCTTACAGGGCTGTAGTGGAAACAAGAATGTGATGTTTGAAGATAAATGGTTTGCTGTCACTTCTGTTTCAGGAGGGAGATATCTTGCCAAATTCTTCACTTGAAATCAGCGTGATCTTTAAGCCCAAAGAAGCCGGAGTCTACCAAGAGACAGTCTACTGTGACATCTCAGGTACAGCTCCTTCCTCCTGCTCCTGTTGCCACAGAGGAGATACAAACACTCTTCCAGCCCACTCGGATCTCATGTAGTTCTGGAGGGCTCAAGAGAGCAGTGCTGGCACATGCCGCTGTCCCTGTGGTTCCTGGTGGTCTCCTGTCCGAGAGCAGGGCTCTGGCTTCCTGATGCCAGAAGAGACAAAGCAGTGAAGGAATAAGCTTTCCTGCCATGGGTTTGGCAGCATTTGCAACACAGCTTTAGTGAAGGAGCACCAGGCCCCTGTAGACCATTTACGTCCAAGATGAGTCTTTGTTGCGTGGCTCTCTCCTCCTCCTCGTGCTGCTCGCTTTGTGTGCAGAGTAGAATGGGATGGCAGTGAGACCTCATCCAAAGTTTGAGCCAGGATTCAGGCACCTTAGGCTGCTTCAGTGGCTGAGAGCAGCTTTCAGCCTGAAGATCTTGTGCTCTGTCATCTGTAGCAAATTTAAGGGAAAGGACCCACCTTGGAGTTTGGCTGTAAGCGTCGAGGTCTCGCTTGCCTTTGCACCGAGGGATGTGTACGTTAGCAGTACGGGTATGGCTTATGTGATCTGCTCAATGAGGAGGCTGGTTTTCCACGACTGGAGAGAGACCCTTCATCGGGGACTGGAGAGATAAGACAAGGGGGGTGGTGGGTTCGAGCTTAAACAGGGGAGATTTAGTTTTGATATACAGAAGGAATTCTTTCCTGTGAGAGTGGTGAGGCGCTGGAACAGGCTGGCCAAGGAAGTTGCTCCATCCGTGGCAATGTTCAAGTTCAGGCTGGTCGGGACTTGGAGCAACCTGGTCTAGTGGAAGGTGTCCCTGTCCATGGCAAGGAATTGGAAGTGGATGATCTTGAGGTCCTTTCTAACGCAAAGCAGTCTGTGTTTCTCTGAGACACCAGCCCAGGCCGTTGGTTAGAAAGGAGAACCCAGCCCCAAGCCGTATCTCCTGAGGGATGAGATGGGTCCCCTGTCTTCTCCTGGAGGACGTAGAGCTGGTTCCATGCAGCCCAGGGACCGGCAGCAGCACTGAGACAAGCTGGGAACTGCCGGGTAGCAGAGGGAATTGCACTCACAGAGATTTCCCTCCACAGGCTGTGAGAGCAGGCTGCCCCTGTGCATCAGCGGGGAAGGCGTCGGGCCCCAGGTGGAACTCAGCTGTGAGCAGCTGAGCATCGGGGAGGTGTCTGTGGGCTCAAGCCACAGCTACAGGGTGAGCAGGACGGGTCGCAGGGCATGGGGTGGATGCGGATGGCTCCTGGGCAGCAGTGAGCCTCATGGAGCTGTGGGATGGGTCTGAATGAACTTGGTGGTGCTGAGCAGGTCCTTGGCACTGCAGGGCAAGTGGACTGCTCTGTGTCAGGGGAATAAGCCCAGAGTGGCTCTATTTGTGTGAAGTTATCCCTGCTTTGCATGAACCCCCCCCCCGAGGCAGAACTTGGCCTCTTGTATTTGGCAGCAGTGCTCAGCATCTTCTGCCTTTTACAGACGTTAATTGCAAAATTAGGAAAGAAGTGAGCCTTCTGTAAGCAAGGAGGATTCCTCATGTATTTCCGTGTTGCTTTCTTGCTGCTGCTGCAGGTGATCCTGCTCAACAGAGGAGTTCTTGAGGCTCCCTTCGGCGTGGTCTATGCGGAGAGAGCTCTGGGCTCCTGCTTCACCTTTGCCCCCCGGGAGGGCGTGCTTTTGCCTTTCGAGCATCAGGTCATCTGGATCTCCTTCAATGCTACTGTCCTGGGGCAGTTCACAGAAGAATTCCAGTTCAGGGTGAAGGGATCCCCTGAGCCTCTGACGCTGACTGTGAGGTGAGGCGGGTTCTAAGAGCTTGGTGGTCACCTTTGTAGCTCTCTCTGGGTAATCATGTCCCACCTCCCTCATTTGCTGACGGAGCAGAGAAAGAAAAGGCCTGTCTGAGGTCTTGATCTTGGCTGTCATCCTGGCATCCCCACACTAAGAGCCCACGCTAACCTCGACTCCAGTTTGACCCTGACTCCTTGCAACAGCGGCAGCAGCAAATGCAGTGTAATTGTCAGCAAGAGGGAGCCATGGAATAGTTTGGGTTGAAGGCACCATTTGCTGTGGTCCTTGATTTTGAACTGAGAGGCAGAGCTGGCATTGGTTGGCATGAGCCATGAAATATATGAATGGGTGTTGTGCAGCTTCACGTGGTGATTCAGGTGGATGTTGGTGAGTTCTGGAATTTGGAGCCTCAAAGTCTGATGAATTTAAGGGCAGGTGAGGTGGTGTGGTGGGTTCAGGTTTCATTATCCCTGCAACTACTTGAAAGGATGATGGAGCCAGGAGGTGGCTGGTCTCTTCTCCCAGGTAAGAAGGGAAAGGACAAGAGGAAATGGCCTCAATCTGCGCAGGGCAGTTTTAGACTGGATGTTAGGAAGAGTTTCTCCCCGAAAGGGTGGTCAGGCATTGGAAGAGGCTGCCCCGGGCAGTGGTGGAGTCACCATCCCTGGAAGTGTTCCCAAACCGTGTAGATGAGGCCCTTAGTGACACGGTGACACCACCCTTTAGTGGTGGCCTTGGCAGTGCTGGGGTGACAGTTGGACTTGATGATCCTAAAAATCTTTTGCACCGTAGATGATTTGACGCTTCTGTGTTGGGTGGTTTAAGACGTGTTGCTCTTGGATGTGTCAGCTGGTGCCCTGGTGATAAGCTGATGCTTTCGTCCCAGCTTCAACTGTCCACTGTGTTGAATTGTTGCTGCTGTTGTCAAGGGATGTTTGGGGCTCCCCTGGCTTCATGTCTCAAAGTCCTGCCCCCGTAACGATTGCGTGGATCAAGATCTTCTTAGAAAGGTGCTCGTGTACTCCATGGGAAGAGCAGTTCCAGCTAAGAAATGCCAAAGCAGGAAACCTGTGGCTGGCAAGGGTAGTTACCTTGACCCTCTTTGAGTGGGGACACCCCTGCGTCCAACACGTTCCAGATGGGGAAAGTGAGGCACGCAGCCGTCACTCGTTTGGTGTCCTTCCTCAGGCCATCACCAACTTGGGGGCATACCCTGCACGACACTGTGCCCCAAGCCCCACCAGCAGCTATGGGCTGCTGACCACTTTGCTTTGGCTGCCTCCTGTCCACCTGGATGCTGTGCTGAGCATGAGGGTGAGGGGTTGATTTGAAAGGCGCTGAGGTTCTCAGGCCGGCTTTTACCCACCGCAACGGCAAGGAAAGCTGAAGGCTTTGCAGTTCTCTTTAACCAAGGCAATGTCTCGTCTGCCTTTGTCCTCACAGCGGCTGTGTCATCGGGCCGGCATTTCATTTCAATGTGTCGTCCCTCAGCTTCGGTGAAGTCTCCTTTGGTGAGTGTGCCCTGGGCTTGGGCTGCAGGGTGGGAGGTCTGAGCCTTACCCAAATGGAGCACTTGGCCAGGACAGCATTGTCACTTGTGTTCCTCCGTAGCCACCTTCAGCGTGTCAAAAGCAGGACTGCCAGCTGCTAGGCAGTATTTTGCCGTGGTGAGCTCAAACATTACCAGATAGAACGGCACGGAGCCAATTGAATGGTTCAAATAGAACCTAAGGAGTAGAAAGTCAGTGTTCTCTGGTGTCCCTCACAGTCAGTCCAGCCCCAGTCTCCCAGTCCCTGGCAACAGAATGACTGTGAAAGTCTTTCTCCCGGGAGCTGAAGGCCCGTTGTAGGTGCCCTGGGTGAATTTTGCTGTTGTGAGGCAAGGGCACCATTTCCCCACCTGACCGTTAGCGTGAGAAATCAATTAGTGCTGCGAGGCCAACTCGTTGTCAGCTCCCGGGTAACATGGCCAAGCAGTAGCTCTGCATGGGGCAGCCATGTCTTCAGACGTGGGCTCCTCCTTCCCCACCAAAAGGCCAGCTCTGCTGGCAGAGCTGGTGGCTGTGCACGCAGAGCATGTCCGCTGAGATGCAGATTCTGGTTCTCCATCTCAGTCTCACAAAGGACTTGTCTCTGAGATGGTCTAAAGTTTAAATGTGAACTCAACCCCCCAGATGAGCTGTGGTTGTGTCAGTGGCTTCCATTATGGAAAGCAAGTAGCAAAGCTGAAGCCATGTCAGCCTTTGTGGGGTAATGAAAGCCAGCGTGCAGCGTGGCTGTGTGACCCCACTCCTTTGGGAGGGTGAGACACAGGTCCTGCTTGTTCTTGAGCAAGCATCAGGTTTGCCTCCAGTGAAGTGGGCTGTGAGCTGTCACGGGCTCAGTCTTGGTTGTCCCAAACCAGGAGATGCATCGGGGTTCCTGTCTGGAGAAGGTGCTTTAGAGTGCTCTGCATCATGCTGTGGCTCCCAAGTTCATCCTTCCTTTCCTTTCCTTTCCTGGGTCATCCCTTTGATGCCAACATACTGCTTTTATCTCTTGAAAACTGTGGGAGTGTTTGTGGAGTTCACAGGGACTTTTCCGGATTGACTTTTCAGAGTAAATGTTCTGGATGCACCGTCATGGTTGAGAAGGAGTTGGTGCTGGTTTGGGGGAGGTGAGAGCTCCTCACAGTTAGAGAGAGACACTTGCGGTGTTCAGCGTCACACAGAGTGGGCATTTCTGTGTGACAAGCGTAGAAGGGAACTTAATTGAGGACGACTTCCCCACAGAGCTTCTCAATCGGCTGTAATTGCCGTTGAAAGGAGGCAAACTCCAAGCGCAGTTTCATCACAGCAGGATGTCCACCCCAGGAATCAGGGGGTAATAAACTGCTGTTGTGTTCTTTTCCCAGGCTTTCCTCGCACCCTGTGCTGCCGCCTCACTAACACTTCCCCGGTGCCCTTCAACTTCAACCTTCGCATTCCTGGGGACGGCTCAGGAGCACCCAGCGTGACCAGTTTTGCTCAGGTGTCAGACAGCACTGGTCCGTCGTGGAGAAAGCCAGCGCGAGGTGCCAAGAAGCCAGCTGAATTTACTATCAGGCCCTTGACAGGGACCGTCTGCTCCAAGGGACACTTGGATATCCAGGTACGGGAAGAGTCCAGCCCTGCGTGCTTCAGAGGTGGAGCTGGAGCTTCAGTGATGTTGAGGGGGCTTTAGCACTGCTGGCTCTGAGCATCATGCGAGTAAGAGATGTGCGCTAGTGTTGGGCTCTACATCTGCCCTGGCAACCGCAAAGCGTATTCAGTAATTCAGATATTGTCCAAAGACTTCTGTTACTGCCAGAGACTGTGCTCTACACGTGAACCAGCAGAAGAGTTAAAGGCAAACATCAGAGAACCCTAGGCTGTTTTGGGTCGGAAGGGACCTTACAGCTCATCCAGTTGCAACCCCCTGCCATGGGCAGGGACACCTTCCACCAGATGAGGTTGCTCCAAGCCACGTCCAAGCTAGACTTGAACAGCGCCAGGGATGGGGCAGCCGCAGCTTCTCTCGGCAACCTGTGCCAGGGCCTCAGCACCCTCACAGGGAAGAACTTCTTCCTGATACCTCATTTTCCTAATATCTACTAAATCCTCCCTTTCCTTGCCGTGGAACGAGATCTGGAGGGCTCTGCGTATGGACGATGGGTTTGGGGAGTGATGAAGTATTTGATGCTCTTGTCTCCCAGGTCACCCTGTGCTCCAACACCGTGAAGAGATACAAGCTGGCCCTGGTGGTCGATGTGGATGGTGTTGGCAGAGAGGTGTTATCACTGCCCATCAGAGCCAGGTACCAGCGCTTCCTTGCAGCCCGTCTTCTTTCGCTGTGCATCTGCCACGAGCAAGTGGTGGTGCCTTGCACAGAGCTGGCTGGCTCCAGCTCCAAACGAGGAGCATTGCTCAATGAGCTAGCTGTGCCCAGCTAGACAGGAGAAGAGCAGCGCATGGAAAGCAGTCCATGATGAGCAGCACTTGTGCTCAGCCACAGGCACGGCCCAGAGCCTTTTCCTACAGGAAACTGTGATTCTATTCCCTATTGGCCTGCTCTGGGGGCTTGAGGTGTAATGTTTCCAAAGGGCCGCCTCTCCTCCTTCCTGCAAGCGTTGGACTTGTGCTGGGTTGTGACCAGAATGCAACGCTGGTTTGGGCTACAGCGAGCAGCTGCTGCAAGGTGTTGTCTGTCTCAGTTAAGGAGGGGGCGTGCAGATGGGTGAGGGGCTTAGGGCAGGAGTGGTGAGGGAAAAGTAAAGGTGAGATCTTCTGAAAGACAAAGTAGTCCTTGGTGTGGAAGGTGAGCTCAGGTTTTTGTGCTTCCCTCTGGCTCTGTTGAGCATTGATGTTCTCAGAGTTAAGCTAAAAGTTGTTCTTGCTTCAGGCAGATTCAGGCCTGTTGTGCTGCGGTGGGCGTCAGTTCAATGGCAAGAGGGATGCAGCTCAGCGGTGCTGTTCCCTCTCCCAGGCAGAGTTGCGCAGTCAGTGCCTGGGCTGCAGTTGAGTAGAACAAGTGCAAATGGGAGCAGCTGGTGTGTGGACCCGTGGGGAAAGGACCAAGGCAGCCACAGGGCGTGGGAGAGGGTTACGGCTGACGGCACAGGGCGCTGCTCCTCAGTGGGAAAGCTCCCTCAGAGCTCACACCTTGCTGGGGCCACTGAGAGGGTCCTTGCAAGCCTCCTGGGGCAAAGGAGGGGCAAAGCTGACCTGGGACAGGGCAACGTGCTCTGCCTGGGCACTGAGCAGCTTTTGTGATGCTGAGACTCGGGGTCTGCCCCTCTTTTGCAAGAGGTTGTTGGGTGAAAAGAAATTAAAGGCTGTTTGTCACTGTAGGGGTATCAGATGTCTACTTGACGGTGACAAATGTATCTGCTCCATTTGGTGCTCATTGAGAAGTAAACAAGCAAGCAACACTGTCTCAGAACCTAATTCCCTTTTGCTCATCTCTCTGCCTAGATGTGGCATTCCCCTGCTGCGAGTGCTCCACCCAGCTGTGACATTTGGACGATGCTCTCTCAAAGTCCCTTATCAGCAGATGCTGACCCTTGTGAACGACAGCAACCTGCCAGGCTGCTACTGGGCTCTTCCTCAGGTTTGCCATCGCATCCGCCTCTTGGCTCCAATGTCACCTAGGGGTTTGTTGTTAGGGAAACAACAGGCTTGGTTAAGATGTTGCTGGTTTGTATTCAAGCCTAAAGGTTTGCTGGGAACAGGAAGCTACCTGAATATCAGCTTGAGGAAGCAGCTTAAACTCTCCAGGAAGCAGATTATATTCTAGTCTTCAGGATGCTTTCAATGCAGGAGAGCTTGCAGGGTTGTGAAAAGCTGCTGCAAGGAGGCTGTCGGCACGGGACGGGGGGTTGTGGAGGCAGCAGCTTTGAACCCCCTCAGGATGCTGAACCCATACATGTCTTGCATCTTGAGTTGTGCCTTTCTGCTTCCTCCTAGGGATTTTTAGGCCCGTGTGCGAGTTGCCGTTGTGGTAGATGTTGAAGAGTTGAAAGTTTCCTCAAAGGTCGCTCTGAAGTCGTGCTTGATTCTGTCCCTTACAGGAGAACAAGGATGCTGCTGCTGTGTGGTACTCCAGCCCTGAGCCCCGTGGGATTATCCAGCCTCACAGCTCGGTGGAGATCCCGTTCACACTGGAAGTCCAGGTGACAGGAGAGCAGGACACCGTTGCTCATGTTGTGGTGTTTGGGAGTAAAGAATCCCCACTGGTGAGTGCTGGGGCAGACCTGCAGCTTTGTGCCTCTCATCTTGGTGGCGTGTAAAGCGTGTAGGGGATCTTCCAGAGAAAATGATCTATGGCTGTTGTCTACAAGGAAAGAAGGGATTCGTGGCATAAGCAACACTAATGCCTGGAGGAGAGGGAGGCTGGTATCCCCTTAGGTGGTGTGTCTGACACTTGCGTGTGTCTGTGTGGAAGTGTCTGACACAGCATTTAATTACGGGGATGTGAGACAGGATAACGAGCTTAACCTGAAACCCCGAGCTTTGCTGAAAGTCAGGTCCGTCATGTGTGAGCAACAGCCATCCATCAGATGTCCTTGCCAAAAGCCCCACCAAGGACACCAGAGTCTCCACAGGGCTTGCATCTGGAGCACAGTCTTTCTTTGTCCACCAAGCTTGGAAGCGGATGAGGCAAAGCCTTCGTGGGCTGAAGCCTGCTAAAAGATGTAGTTCGCAACAGCAGCAATGACAACAAAATGTAGACAAGGGGGTGGTGTCTGTAGTCTCCTGGCTTCATCTGGCTGAAACTGAGAATGAATCTAGTTAATGAAACTTTAAAATGGTACTAACTTTTGAAGCAGCTGTATTAAAAAGTCTTGTCAAACCTTGGGGCATGAAAGAGGATGTCAGAGGGTTGCTGGGAACCTGATGCTTTCTGCAATGACAAATAAGGCTGACATTTTGAAAGTACTTGCAGGCATTCAGACTTTTCTGAAAGTGAACAGAAATGCTGCTCCTAAATCCCCTGGGTGCCACCAAGTATCTCCACTCCACCCTGTTGTGGATATGCGTGTAAAGAGTGAAGAGGAAGGCCAGGCAGTGCTGGAGGTCTGAAGTTTGACCACAGCTGCTCTTAGGAGCAACTTCTCTTTATATAGAAGGAATATTTCCCTTGAAGAGGAAGGTTTCTCCCCACTAGAATAACCAGTTGTTTAACTGTGAGCTGCTTTTTAAGTACTGGTTTCTTGCACAGCTTTTGCCCTTGGGCTAACAGTTTTTAGTTTCAAAGTTCGCCCTAACTTAATCTTTTGGACGTGGAGGTGAACGTGTCAATCTTTTGCCCAAAGGGTGAGCATTTCAGTCGGAGGATCGTGGCTGTCCCTAAAGACACGACACATGGGACTGAGTGACCCTGTGCCCGGTCAGTCCATCCTCAAGGCGCTGCGCTCGTGCTGGGCTGCTGCTCGCAGCCAGCAAATGCCGGTCAAAACCTGGCTGGCTGTTGCCTGCGCAAATGGGAGTTTCTGGGTGTCATTTTCTCTGGCTCTGCCTTATGGCTTGAGTGCAGCTTCAGGAGTTCCCTGGTAGCTGACTGCTGCAGAGCTTTCAGGGCCAGCAGAACCACCGCTGTCCTGTTACACATCCTGTGCATCATCTGATGCAAACCTGAGCTCAGGGGAGTGGCTGGTTTTTATTCCAGAACGCAAGATATTGCAGCGTCTCAGAGTGGTTTGTGTTGGAAGGGACCTCAAAGCTCCTCCAGTTCAAACTCCCTGCCACAGGCAGGGACACCTTCCACTAAACCTGGTAGCTCCAAGCCACATCCAGACTGGCTTTGAACAGTACCAGGGATGGGGCAGCCTGTGCCAGCCATAGCTCCTCTGGGCAATCTGTGCCGGAGCCTCACCACCCCTCACAGGGAAGAACTTCTTCCCGGGATCCCATCTTGATCACACACAACCCCACCCCCCCCGTCAATTTAGAGCCATTCTTCCTTGTTCTGTCCCCACAGGCCCTTATCCAAAGCCCCTCTCCAGGTTTCTTGTTGGCCCCTTTAGGCACTGGAAGCTGCTTTAAGGTCTCCCTAGAGCCTTGCTTTCTTGAGGCTCTACAAGCCTGGTTAAGGCTTGGGGTGTTTGGAGCTGGGGAGATCCAGCCAGACTGAATGAATTCTCATTGGTTTTAGTGACGTGAGAAGGGGGCTTATCAAAAGGATCCCCATTCCTCCTCCACTAGTTTGTGCCCCTTCTGCAGGAAGAAACTTTTGGGTCTCAGGCTGTCACCAGAAAAAATACTGCTGGAATGATGCAATTAATAATGAATGTCTCAATGCAAGAAAGAACTAATCCCAGGAATGCACACAAGCAGAAATGAGAGGCAGCTAGCTTGCATGATCTCTACTGTGCAGAGGAGCTTTGCTTCCAGGCTGTGCTGGTTTTGACAGGAGAAGCTTTCGGAAGGTTGAAGAAGTTGCTGTGCAGTGTGGCCGTGCAGCCGCAGCAGTCAGGGAGGGTGGTTTATGGCGTGATGGAGCAGTAGAAGGAGCAGGCGTAGGCACAGGGTAGAGGAAGGAGAGCTGACAGCGTGGAGGAGGTGTGAAAAGCATGCATGGGAGATGGGGGTTCTGTATCCCCTCATGATGGGATCTTGTGGCTTTCCGATCCGCAGGGATCACTCCAGGTGCCACCTTTGCTCCAGCCTTCCTGTTTCAGCCTCCCAACCCTGAGAGCTTCAAAGAGTCAGAATTCCCCCAGCCTACGAGCACCCTTAGAGCTGTCCAGTCATTGTAGACTTTCCCTGTTGTTTTGTTCTTTTTCCTGCCTGCCTCCTGGAGCAGAAAATCCATTTACTGAGCACTGGCGAAGGACCAGTTGTCCACGTGCACCCAAGTGAGATAAATTTTGGCTGCATCCAAGTTCTACAAGATGCTTCCCGAAGCCTCCACCTCTGCAATCAGTCTGTCATCCCTGCATCCTTCTCGGCAAAGATGGTAAGTGTCGCTGGGGCTGTTTTCCAGTGCAAGTGACTGGCCCATAGCAGCCTGTGACTGAATTCTTTATTTCTGTGCAACATTTCCACATCCCTGAGACGTGTCTTGAGAGAGAAAGCAAGATGTTCCATCCCAGTGGAGCAAGAGAAGCCTGGCTCTGGGGGCAGTTGTAGCTGGGGCACCCGTCAGTAAAGCAGAGTTTGCAGAGATGTTTGAGCAGAAAGGAGCTCATTTCTGCAAGTTCTCCCTTTATTCTGTGGAAGGCGTTTAGCTGTGGGAGTCTTTGTTTTTGGAACTGAGAGGTCTGTCCTCAAGGTGCTTACGGTGAAGTGGGTTTCACACCTCCCTGGGGGTGAAACCAGCTGGGTTGTTGGCCAGAAGTAGACTCGTAAGGTCTGTGTACCTGCAGAGCCTGTGGGCTCTGTAGCGTTGTAGAGCGTGTGGCTGCAGAAGAAGGCTGTTTAATTCCTGGAAGCCGCGTGGTGGAACAGGCTGCGGAGCAGAAGAAGGTTGTGGGATCCTCTGATGGGCTGATGCGGGCGGGAAGGGCTAGTGTGCTGGGGCTGGGGGGTGCTTCCCAGCGGAGGGGAGTCTGTGAGGGGCTTCAGAGGAGGTTTGTTCTGGTGCAGGCTGGGTTGTTGAAGCTGTGGAGCTGCTTCACCCAGGCCTGTCGCTGGGGACTTGGTTGTGTCCGCGCATGGAGCAGGCAGCAGTGTGTGAGAGCAGAGGCTCAGCCCCCTGGGCAAGGAGGAGGGGGCTGAATTTCCCTCCTGCTGCTTTTGCAGCTGTTTGGGGGTTCAAGAGACCCTCAAAGTGGGAGATTCCCAGGCAGGTTTCTTTGTCCGCACCATAAAAATCTGCTTTCCATCTCTGCAAAGAGCAAGCACCCCAGTGCCCTCAGCAGCTGCCTCCTTGAGTGCCCTTTCTGACTTGCTGGTAACCAAAGCACTTGTTACTCTGCTCGTCAGGGGAAAGCAAACATGTCCTGTTGTGCTGTGCCTGTTGGCAGCTGAATTACAGAGGCTTAGAAGTCTTCAAGACGGCTGTGCTTCTAGAAGCAAGCTGAGAGCTTTTCCCAGAGGAAAAGCAGGGGCAGTTTGGTTATGAAACGTTGTGCGTGGCAACAGCTGGCCAAGCCGTAGCCGTGTCCTGGAGAACCGCGATGGTCAGAGTGGTGTCCCTGACCTCCCCAGCCTGGCAGGGAGGGCAGATGCGATCCTGGAGGGGTGAGCTGTGGACAGGGAACACAAACGGAGACAAGCTCTGCCCCTTGATTCTGTGAAACATCCCCTTGCTGGTGCTCGGGGCAGAGGCTAAACCGCAGTGGTCCCCACGCTTGTGCTGAGGAGATGCTGATGCTGAGGAGCCAGGAGGAGGCCGGTTGGTGGTGGGAGCAGGTAGCCAGCCTCAGGCTCTGATCTCCTCCTCGTGCAGGGCTCGGGGTGCTTTTGGGCTGTTTCCTGGCGCTGGCTGTTTGTGTGGATAAGGAGCAGCTTTGAAATGAAGAACAGAGGGTCCCCCGCCACCAGGAATGCTGAACCACCCAGGACAAGGCTCTGCACCCAGCCGGTGCAGGACGGGGTTTATTTCCCCTTCATGAGCAGCCCTACGAGGCCAGTGGGTCAGCCTGACAAAGTGGGAATGCTGTTGTTAGAGCTATGGCTCTTGCTAGAGCCACGGCTTGATCAAGCGCAGCTGCATTTGTAATGCGGTGTTCTGCTTCCTCTGTCACTTGTGCAAGGCCAGAGTGACCAGATCACTTCAGTGAATCAGCTGTAAGTAGCTTCAAGAGAACTGACTGGTGTCTCCTCAGTCGTCCCTTAGGGCAGCTCTCCATCCCTTCCTCCCTCTCTCCTTCCCTCCCTCCCTCTATCCATCAGCTGCGCACTGGTGTCCATTGTAAGCAGACTGTGGAAGCTTTTGTTCACGATGGACGTCTGTGCTGGGATAAGATTCTGACTGTTGTGGTGAAGTTCTGAAGTGATGGATCCCAACCCTTACTGGTTCCTCAGGAACTCTGATGTCCAATAGTATAAGAAACTCCTACAGGGTCAGAAATAGCCACTGCCTTTGTGCATCGAATGCATGCAGCTGTGGCATCGTTTTCCGGCACACTCAAGGATAAGCAAGTAGCAGAGATGTTATCAGAGGTTGGGTATTTGTCTGGAAAGTGGGGGGATTTTGTAGCGTGGTTCCAAGAGATTTCTTGTCTGTGGGACACAGGCTGGATTGGGGGCAGGCAAGCTGACCTAGAAAGCCAAGAGAAAGTGTCTCGGCAGAGCCTTGTGGCCCTGGCAGGTCTCCTGTTCAGCACTGCGCTGTGCTGCCCCTTGGAGCCAGAGCAGATGCTGACTGAAAGAATGAGGGCAGGCTGCAAATCCTCCTCCCCTGACACGGGCTGTTGGCCTGGCTGGGACAGCAGGGCTGTGCCGGGTCACCCCAGGGAGTTGAAGGTCTGGCTCCGTCGAGACGCCCATCCTCACTCCTCAGGAATAGTTTCTGGGGTACAATTTTCTGGCGGGCTTGTTGCCAAGCTTTGATAAATGAGCTTTGTGAGGGAGCAGACTCGCAGATTCACCTTTGGAGCAGTGCTCTCAGGGCTCCTTTCCAAGCGAGCTGCCCTGTGTCAGCATGAACCCGAGAAGTCGTACGTGAATGTCAGTGGAATCTTCCCAGCCACTGGCTTGGTGTGACCGTGTTGTCTGGGCAGCCCTTGGCTGGTGGCAGCCAGGTCCGTGGTTTGCATCCTAAATGAGTGTTTGGTTGTCTTGCAGGCTGGCGAAAACGCGTGGTGGAGTATTGGACCCAGTCAAGGAGTGATCCCTGCCAAGGCCGAGGTGTCTGTGGTTGTCACTGCGAATTTGGATGACACGGAGCAATTCAAGGACGAGGTGGTGCTGTTCATTGAGAACAGTCATGCCTGCGTCATCCCCGTCCAGGCTGTTGGCGTTGGCACCACGATTGTCGTTGACAAACCCTTTGGCCCGGAGCTCAAGCTGGGCCCCTGCTTCAGGTAGGGAATCTCTCGGCTCCCACTTCCCCATGGGCTCAGCAAGGAGGAGTTCTGCTGCAGTCCCTCAAGCTTCTTCAGTGCTCAAGGTCCTGGCTCTGCTTCCCTGAAGCCACAGGGGTTCCTTTAGAAACATTTGATGGCCATCTGAAAGTCGTTAGGTACTCTGAAAAGCCACCCAGCTGCAGACCAGTTGCTAAATTGTTGCTGCTAAATTATATCTTTAGTCCTAATCCATTTATTTCCTCACTTTATGGAAGAAAGATTTGGAGGAAAAGAGCAGGTCCTGGAAGCCTCCAGCTGGGAAATGCTGCCTTGCAAGTGTAACCAGGTTTCTCTTTGCAGTGATATTGCTTGCTTTCCCATTCGCTCTGGAGTATCATCTCAGAGCAGCAGCAAGCCTGGGCAGTAGCTTGTTAGCAGCTCCTCGACTGAATGAATGGTGCTGGTTTATTTCTACCTCTGCCGGGGAGCCCTGGAGGAGCAGCAGAATTTCTTTGCCCTGTGTCACTCCCCAGTTGGCTCCTCTACCGCACTCCGTGCCCGGTTGCTCTTTATTAGGCGTGGTGGCTCTTTCCTGGTTTCTCCTGCCTGCTTTGCGAGGCACGGGCAAGCGAGGGTGGGTGCAGGACCAGCCCTGGAAGGGGAAGGAAGTGTGGAAGTCTGCTGAGGTGGAGTGGGATGAACAAAGAGTCTGACTTGAAATCGCTGAGCTGGCAGGAGAGGATTCACTGGTCCCAACGTGTGTGTCTGAAAGCAGGCATGTTCTTAAAGACGGGAGGAAAACAGTGCTGTTTGCCTTGTGTTGGAGACCTCCTCAGGCAAGAAGAACCGTCTTCTTGGGGTGCCTCTTCCTTTCTCTGGCTGCAGAGGGGGTCCGTGGTGCTCCGATACCTGAATTCTTGGGGCAGAAAGAGCAGGTTAATCCTACCTTAAGCACTTGGGACAGATTTGGAGAGGTAAAATAGGCAGCCACGAGCCGTCCACGTAAGCAGGGCCATTGCAGGGAGGTTGGTGCTTGTCCGGAGTTTGCTGCGCTCAGTGTGGTTGCACAGGGTGGCTGCACAAGGGAGGGGACAGCGTCCATGTGATTCACGTCTTCTGCCGCCCTTCATGCCTTTGCCTGCGGGCTGAGTTTGGAGCTGTTGCCATTGCTGTCGGCTGCCCCCAGAGGGTGGTACGCTGGGGGCAATGAGGGTTGGATGCTCCCTAAGAGACGCCTCAGAGGCATGAACAACAGGTGCCAAGGGGAAGGTGGAACGGCAGCGAGGCTGTTCCTGCCCCCACTTGCATCTGGGGCAGGCTGTGTACGAAGCTCTTCCTTGCTGGCTGCAAGCAGAGCAGCTGGTGGATGGTGACAAACCTAGGGGCAGCCAAGGTCTGCCTTTTGGTGAAGCTTTACGCTCGGTCAGCCTTCTTGGAGGTGGTTTTGTTGCCGAGTGTGCAATCAGGTCGTGCCCTCAGGGTGCTGACGCTGGGTGACCCCTGGCAAATAGCAGCTCCCCTGCCATTTTGTGTTTCTGCTTCTCCTCTAGCCTGGATCCCTGCTGTTACCGCTTCAAGATGACAAACAAAGGACAACGCACCCATCTGCTCTATTGGACCACAGAAGGTGGCACCACACTTGAGCAGCGCAAGCATCTCCCTCCCGTCAGGAACACCAAGGGCAAGGTTTCCTCCTGCGGCCCCGTGTTTAAGCTTCAGCCGCTGAGGACGGAGCTGATGCCTGGCCAGACAGCGGAGATGGTGCTGGAAGGCTCCTGCAGCACCCCCCAGGTGAGTTCCGTCCGCATCAGGGCATTTCTGCAGCCCCTTGACATTTGCTCCTAGAGTTTGAGAGGTGTTTTAAAGGATTGCCTCAGTGGTAGCTTGAGGAAGACTTGATTTCTCAGCTGGTTGACTCCGACGGGACTGTCCCTGTGCAGTCCTGAGCCCGTAAGGCTTTGCTGAAGGGGGAAGAAGGTACCGGAAAGGGAATGAAGTGGTCAGGCCACTGGTGAGGGTGTCCTACCTGGAAAGCCAAATGGGCATCTGTGAGCTCAGCCGTGGCTACCTGGCTCCTGCAGTCCAAGCCAAGACCCTGGGACTGGGTTTTCCACCTTCCCTGGGTCTTGAGAACTTCACACTCTTGAGGTTGGTTAGAAGCCCAAGACCCTGCGTTGCACGTGCAGCACAGGTGATTCTGAAGTGTGTAGGCTCTGAGGAGGAGTTGGGTTGTGGTGGTGTGTCAGAGGGAAGGGAGAGGAATAAAGGGAGGAATGTGGGGAAGTGAAACCATGAGGAATGAGGAAAAGTCTTGGATGTAAGGGCATCCAGCTTAAGGAAAGGGTTTTCATGCCAAGTGGAAGACGTCTGTTTCCTGGGGAGGTTTGGTTTAAAGCCAGCTCTCGGAGGACACAGTACATCCTAGGAAGGCAGGCTGGCTGTTTGGGGTTTTCCCACGGATCCTTTCCACTAAACTTCCAAGGGAGGATTTGCTGGCATTGATCCTTCTATCACCTGTTTCCCTTCATACCGTCTGGTTTGGTTTTTTGAATGAGTTCCTAGAGCTCTCAGTAAGCATTTTGCTTGTCAGTGGGACAAATCAAACCAATAATCATTTGTGGCAGGGATTCTTGTGACAGCTGTAGGCAGCACAAGACTCCCGAGGGCCTTTTGTGGCGGTTGGGTTGTAACATCAGGGACATGTGAGTGCAGAAGGAAGAGGATGCAGCATCTAAAGAAGAGAGAGCTCCTGAGGAGACCAATGGCTGTAACTTCCTGCAGTAATGGGGTCTGTGGGTGGGTGGCTCACAGCTGCAGTATGTTTTCTGGACACCCTGGTAACACCCCCTGGGTGCCGTGTGACTCGCATGCAGGTGGTGAAGGAGAAGCTGCTGTGTCACGCCATCGTGGGCAAGGAGGGAGTGAAGAATCTGATCATGCAGGTGGACGTCACGTGCGAGTTCATTGCTCCCGCCCTGCAAATATCCAGCAGAGAAATCCCTTTCCGGGTGGAGAAGGTGAGTCTCTGGATTGCATGCTGGCACTGACTGGTGTGGCTGGGGTGTGCCTGTGTCCAAAGGAGGAAGCTCAACAGCTTCTCCAAGTCCACAGAGCTTTGGCTGTTGATTTAAGCCAGGCCAAGCTTTTGTCATGAATGGCGAGCTCGTTCTTTCACCCCTCTGGGGCTGGGGACAGTCTCCACGGCTCTATTCTGCCCTTCTTGATGTGGAGAGGGAATTGAGCTGCTGAGCCAAGGGCACGGGCCGAGGTGTGGGAGCCGTGAGAGCAGCGTGGGCTTTGGAAGAGCCACCTCGTGTGCTGGGGCTGCAGGTGGAGAGCAGATCCCTGCTCACTCTCCCTGAGCTGGTGGTGAAAGGAGTGAGGATGCTGCTAGAGATGAGGCTGTTCTCTAACTTCACCCAGGTAAAACTGAGATTGCAGCTGCTCTGCCGAGGGGGAGCATGGCCCCTTCTCGAGAGACACCAGTGTCTGTACTCAGGGTTTTGAGGATCTTCCAAGGCGTGGTGATGTCTGAGCAGCGATCGTGTAGGGAAGCTGAGAAAACCTGCCATTCCTGTCAACTCCTCAAGCTGATGAGGAAAAACTGGCGTCTCTTGTGCCTCTTTGCCTTCCCTGCTGTCGCTGTGGATGCTGCCTCTTTGCCTTTCCCAAGCCTCACCTTCTTCAAAGGACCCACGGGTGCCCTTCAGCTGCAGTGACGAGAGCACCAGTGCAAAGTGTGTGCCCTTTAGTGTCTGGATCCCGACTCCTGCATCATCTTTCCCCCTCGTGCCAGGTGTCTGAAAAAGAGCAGATAGCTCTTGATTTAGTTTCTGTGGTTTCAGGTCCCTCCTCCGGTTCCCAGGCTTCCGGAGAAGCCCAGATCCTGCGAGCAGGCAGTTCACATCTAATCAGAAGCTTTTCAGCTCCCCCTGCTGTCTGCCTGGGGTCTGCTTGATGCCACATGCTCCCATGTATTGAGTGCTACGACACTGCAGGAGTTGGATGTCAATACATCCAGAATTAGTTTCCCAACCACTGTCTAGGTTAGCTAAACCCTGCCGGAAGCCCGGAGCAATGCACGGACAGGAGGAAAAGGCTTCGGCTGGGCTTAGCTTTGAGACTGCAACATCTTGTCACTGGAGCAGGGGCAGCAGGTTGCGGCCAGACTGTTGAGGTTTGGAGCTGTCTGCGTGTGCCCGTAATTGTTCAAAGCTGACCTCGGGCTGCTGCAGGCTCTCCGCTGCAGGCCTTGTCTCCTGTGAGCAGCGTCACTGCTTTACGGGCCTGGCAGAGCTGATAAGGTGGTAAGAAAGTACTGTATGTGAGTGGAAATGGCCTTGTGCCTGTGTGTCCTCTCTGCCCAGGAGAGGACACGCAAGTGGAGCCAGACTGGGTTCACTTTCTGGTTTGGATCTTGCTGAAGCAGCTGCCTCCTCTGGGGGCCTGCTCCTTCATCTGTAGGCGAGCCTGTTTGCCTGTCCCCTGGGGGATGCTGTGGGTTCTAAACATGAAAGCGTCTGATACAGTTGGAGGACAAACTTTCCAGAGGGGTAGAAACCAATCAAAAGAGTAAATAGAGATGGATGCGCTTTTGGGGTTGGGGAGGAAGTCCATGGCCGCTTCAAGGTCCTTTTTTCTTGTTTCCTGTTTCTGTAGCACCCCAGTGATGTCCTGACTCTTCAGTACAAGCCTCTCTCTTTAAAGAACATCTGCTGCCTGCCCCTCACTGTGGTCCTTGCCTTAGAGCAGCCCTTCTCCATCTGCGGTGCGGACCAGCAGCCTCTCCCTGCAGATGCTCAGGTGAGCAGCCCTGGACCTTCTTGCTGCTGAGCTTTGAAGAGGGATGAACGTGGTGGTGTGTCTCTGTTGGGAGGTCTTCCAGCAGGGAAGTGTGTTCTGTAGAGTCTGCAGTAAACTGGGCCGAGCTAAATCAGATGTAAAATGAGCTGCTGAAGGAAACAGAATGCCATCTGAATCGGGAGGAGACCTCCTGGCTTGAAGAGAGGAGGAGGAGGGAGCAGGTCTGGGCAAGCTGTAGGAAAGGTGCCTCCTGGAAAGCATGCCAGCTCTCTAGCAGCCATCCTCAGATAACGTGGGGAGCAGCTTGCTGTCTTTGAGGGCAGCCCTGCTTTTGGGAAGGCTGAGGTAGGCTTCTCCAGCTGCTGTCTGGCTCCTGCCCTGGTGTTTGCGGAAGGTGCTGGGCATGGGCTCTGTGAGGCACGTGTTGTCATAGGTCCAGCCACCGTTTCTGTGCCTGCCAGTGATCAGCGCCTGCATGGGTGAGGCTGCAAAGCCACTGTGCTTGTGCTGCAGGATGAAGGAGTTCCTCCAGAGTCAGGGCGGAGGCCTGGATGCCAGAGTGCTGCTTTGGTTGTGTTTAGCACGTGGCTTCTGGGGATCCAGAATTGAGGAGACCAGTGTGGATTTCCTCTTGTATTGGTGCAGAGCACAGAAGCGTGAGCCTCAGCTAGCTTCAGACAGAAGTGTGGTGCTTGGTCAGACGCTGTGAAGAAAACGGAGGATGAAGCGAGAAGCTCATGTTGGGGTCACACGTGGAACATTTTCTCTTCATCTCCTTGCAGCCCACGAAGCTGAGGAGAGGGGAGGAACTTCAACTCTGCATCGCATTTAACCCTGCTTACGAGGAGGACTTGCTTATCCGGGCAGCAGAGAAGGCTCTGAAGATCAGGTTCCTGGAGCATCCTCATGAAGAGCAGGTCACTGTTCGGGGAGAAGTCTACTTCCCGAATCTCCAGCTCCAGACCACGGCCCTGGACTTTGGCTGCATCTTGAATGACACCAAGGATGTGCGTTACATGGAGATGAGCAACTGCAGCCCGCTGGTTGTCCAGTACCACTGGTCATTCCTGAAGGACAGCCAGGTGAACCCAGTGAGGTATGTGCACCTTTCCCTCTCCTGGAAGCTCTTCTTCCTGATGTCCTGTTTGTGGTTTGCAAAGGCCGAGGCCGTTTGTCTGATCTGCCAAATTGTTTTCAACCTTGCCTTGAGGAAATCCCACCTCTCAGCTGTGCTCAGCCAAGGTGCTCAGGGAATAGGTGATCTGCGCCAGTTTGATGCTGGGAAGGCTGATGTAGAAAGCTGCTTTCTCAGAGCTTCTGGGCCTGAGGCAAACAGCCCCTCGAAGCGAGTGTTCATCTGTTGAACTGCACGTCACATTCACAGAAGAGCTATTTAGAGTTTTAGAGAGGAATGGCAGGTTCTGCTGTGGCTTTAGGTCCAGCTGTAGATGCTGGAGGGAGCCCTTGTATGGACATCCCTGGGGAGGAGGACCATCCAGTGGTGGTCTGTGGTTTCCAAGCCCAAGAGCAATCTTGTAGTGGTGCTGAAGCCCATCTAGAAGCACATTCCTAGTGGTCCTCCTGCTGTGGCTTCTCTGCATGGTACAAAAGTCTGGTGTAGGCAGTTTGAAGGACAGTAGCAAACGGTTTTCTGTAATGCCCTAGGAAAGCCAGCAAAGTTCACCGTGGCGCACTGCAGTGCTGCTATTCCAAACAAGAGAGCTGATCAAGAAGCAGTTGTGTGAAGGGAATTGGGATCTGACTCGCAGGAGGTGACCTCGTGGGAACTGGCGATGAGCTGTGGCTACTAGGAGGGCTTGGGGGAGATGAGCAGGGCACTGGGGTGGCCCATTCTCAGCTGAGTCTTCCCAAGTAACACCAAGTCTTTAGTGGGGCCCTGCTTGATGCACGACACCTTCAAGAGCAGACCCTAAAATGCAGAGGCAAGTCTGAAAAAGCAGCTGGAGGGAGGTGAGCAGGGCTGTCAGCTCTGCTGGGAGCCCCCTGCCCTCTCCCGTAACTTAGATCAGTGGTGGGTGCTGAGTGGTTGCGTTGTTGGCAGCAGAGGGTGCTGAGCACCTCGGCAGGACACGGCCTCTGTCCTGCCCCTGCCGAGGGGTGTCCACCTCTCCAGAGGGTTTGCACAGCCCCTTGGCTGCTCCTTAGTGCTGTGGACGTGACGAGAGCTCCTCTGCTGCTCTGCATGGTCCTTAAGCAGTGTTGTGACCCCTCTGGGGCGCTCAGCAGACACCGTGGGATGCTCTGTGCCAGAGCTGGAAACGAAGATGGTCTCCAAGGTGCTCATTAGGAGCCTGCAGACGGGCAGCGTGTCAGATGTTATTTCTGGTCCACACTAAGCACTGTTGGTATTCTAAATTATCAGCTCTAACTCAGTCTGACATGGAGGGAATCAAACATCAGGTCTCATGAAGGTGAGATCAAAGATTGGGACTTTCCCTACCTCGAACCTTGCTGGAGCTGGTCATCAGAGACTCCCAGGATCAGTCACGCACATTTATTTTGGTCCGGAGAGAAAAATGCTGTTTCTCTGCCTCAACAAGACTTTGTGTGCTTACATTTTTATCCTTCTAATTGTCCAACCCCTTCTTTCCTCCCTACTCTTTGGTCATTGCTGCTACCTGGGGCAGAGTGATCACCTGAGCAAGACAATCCGACGGTTGCTGTGTGGTTGGACATAGGCAGCGTACACCAACCTGTGCCCCTTCTCTGACTTCTGAGCCATGAATCTCTCATGGTTACTCTTGTTCTAGACCCACGTGGTTAGAGACACCCTAACCCTCACCCCTTGGACCTCTGAGAGCTCAAAGCTGAGCTAAGCCTTTGCACCAAGCTGTTTCCTCCCGTGCCAGAATGGATCTTCAGAATCACGCAGCAGGAGAGAGCAGATGTGGAGTCAAGCAGTGGCCAGCTGCCTGCACCACTGCTCTAGCAGTGTCAACGCGAAGCGTCGACCTGCTCCATCCCGGTTTTGGAGCTCATTACTGAGCTCACACCACTGATGCCCACCCAGGGGCCCCATCCTGCCGAGGAGCTGCTGTGCAGACTTCCCTCCCTCCCTCCCTCCCTCCACTGCAAGGTCCCTGAGCAAAGTTCTGTTCTTTTTGCAGGTTCCTGGAGACAGAGCCCCTCGCCTTGGGTGTGGAGGAGGTAAGTGGCAGTGTGTCTCACTTCCACGTTTCCTGTGTAGCAAGCAGTTACGTACTGCCACTGTCACTGTGGTCCTGGGTGCTGCTCCCAGAGTGGCCTCATGTCCTAACAAGCTGTCCTGGGTTCAGCAGTAGCAGTCATTTTTCTCCTTCTTGGTAGCTGGTGCAGTGCGGTGTTTTGGCTTTTGGCCTGGGAACAGAGCTGATAGCGATGTTTTGGTTTGGCCAAGGACTTTGTGAGCCTCGTGCTCTGCCAGGGAGGAGGGGAGGCCGGGGGAAGGCAGAGGCAGGACACCTGACCCAAACTGACCAAAGAGGTATTCCATACCACAGCACGTCATGCCCAGGATGTAAGTGGGAGTTAGCCGGAAGGGCTGGGAGACTGCAGGGTTGGAAGAGGTATCGGTCGCAGCTTGGTCGGGCTGGGGGGGTGGCAAGTTATCGGTTGGCTGGTGGTGAGGTGTTGTATTCTCTTCCCTTGTTATTTTCCTTTATCATTATTATCATTGGTGGTAGCAGTAGTGATTTGTGTTATACCTTAGTTCCTAAACTGTTCTTATCTCAACCCGTGGGAGTTGCATTCTTTTTGCCTCTCCTCTCCGTCCCTCCGGGGGCAGGGGGAGGGAGAGAAGGGGGGGAGTGAGTGAACGAGTTACCTGACTGGGTTTAAACCACGACAATTGTTTTTGGCGCCCAACGTGGGGCACGAGGGGTTGAGATAACGACAGATCTGATCGGATTAATAGTCATCTGTCACAATGCTGATTTATTGGCTCTCAGAGTTGTTCTTGTTGATCTCACAGCTTCAGAATGCAGTACATTACTTAGAGCCGGTATTTGCTGTGTTAGTGTTTATCAAGTGTGTTGCTTGGGCTAAGGTTCTTGTCTCACTGTGCTTTATGGCAATGACTTGTAATACGGGCGGGCTCCAGCAGCAGGGCGGGACGGACGTGGCCGTGGACTTGTACCTGCCCGTCCCGCTGCTCTTCACCGGCCTGGCCCTCGCCCTCGCCTCCATCTTCGTGAGGCCGCGGGGAGCCGAGGGGGAGCGGCCCCGGGAGCCGGCGGCTGCTGAAGCGGCCCGGGAGAGCGGCTCCTGGGACCAAACGGCGGCGGGAGCGGGGCCGGAGGCCGCGAGGGGACGGCTGCGGGTGGAGGAGGTTGGGGCGGTCGAGGAGCGGAAGGAGGCGGCTGCTGAGCAGCGGGAAAAGGCGGCGGCGGCGGAGCCGAGCCCCGCGGAGGAGCCCAGCCCCGCGGAGGCGCCCGCGGCCGAGCCCAGGCCCGCGGCGGAGCCCAGCCCCGCGGCCGAGCCCAGGCCCGCGGAGGAGCCCAGCCCTGCGACGGCCGAGAGCATTCCCCGGCAGCCGCCCGCAGAGCCCCAGGAGGGTGCAGGAGACCACGCAGCATTTCCCAGCAAGGCAGAGGAGGAAGAGCTGGACTCAGGAAAAGAGAAGCTGGCGGTGGGAGAGCCGGCAAGCCCAGCAGCTGCACCAGCCCCAGTGACAAGTGCAGCAGCATCGTTTGAGAGTTCTGAAGGTTTTGAATGGCCTTTGGGTATCCTTGGGACCTGCCTGCTGATTGTGATGGGGATTAGTATGTTGGCACACACACAGACTGTCTTCTACCCACCACCATTTTGTCTGATCTCAAAAGTTAAGCAGAGTGAGGTTTGGGTCTTGTCTGGGGTTAGACGACGATGCAGGGGGACCAAGAGATTTTCCCCAAGGCTGGACAGTCATGAGTGGCAGGGTGTGTGGGACAGTATGGGCAAGTATCTAGTCCACTGGGCCCCTCCAGTGCTTTGGAAGCATCGGAGATGGAAGGCAGCCGTATGGAGTCCCCAGCAACAAGCTGCAGAAACTGCTGAAGGGGACAGTGAATTATTTTGAGCCTGGTGGGCCCATGGCACTTCAGGCCATCAGGGCAGAGATGCAACATAGAGATGGACTCATGATCGAGGGGTGGACTTAGCAATGGACACTATTGCCCAGGTTATTCACAAGTGTGAACACTGCACACAGTCTCTCCTGCTCTGAAAGACTGTTAAAAGAGATGGAGCCTGGCATCATGGACCAGATGGACGCAGCAGCTTTATAGCTACTGGTCCATGCACTTAGATAAGAGTGATGGTATATTGAAAATGTGGGATCTGAGCATGACGTGGATGGTATGGGATAAGGGGTGGATAATGTCCTGGGTTCAGCAGTAGCAGTCATTTTTCTCCTTCTTGGTAGCTGGTGCAGTGCGGTGTTTTGGCTTTCGGCCTGGGAACAGAGCTGATAGCGATGTTTTGGTTTGGCCAAGGACTTTGTGAGCCTCGTGCTCTGCCAGGGAGGAGGGGAGGCCGGGGGGAGGCAGAGACAGGACACCTGACCCAAACTGACCAAAGAGGTATTCCATACCACAGCACATCATGCCCAGGATGTAAGTGGGAGTTAGCCGGAAGGGCTGGGAGACTGCAGGGTTGGAGGAGGTATCGGTCGCAGCTTGGTCGGGCTGGGGGGGTGGCAAGTTATCGGTTGGCTGGTGGTGAGGTGTTGTATTCTCTTCCCTTGTTATTTTCCTTTATCATTATTATCATTGGTGGTAGCAGTAGTGATTTGTGTTATACCTTAGTTCCTAAACTGTTCTTATCTCAACCCGTGGGAGTTGCATTCTTTTTGCCTCTCCTCTCCGTCCCTCCGGGGGCAGGGGGAGGGAAAGAAGTGGGGGAGTGAGTGAACGAGTTACCTGACTGGGTTTAAACCACAACACAAGCGCATGGCTGGTCACTGGAGAGGCCACATGGGAGGTGCTGTAGGGCTGGTCAAGAGCACTCCTTGTGCGGCACCTATGGAGTCCATTCTCCATCTTGGTCCTGATCAGGTGGTGGGTAGGAAATTCCTGCAGCAGCATTTGCTGCAGCATCTGGAGAGAGCAGGATGTGAATCAGAGCCAGGGAAAAGCACCAGGAGTGCGAGGAGCTGGGCTGGATCCTGCCCCCGGGCTCTCAGCTCCCAGTCTCGTGTTCTTGTGAGGGCAGGAAAAGGTGTTTTTGAAGGCAAATTCTGCAGCAGAGAGCATTTCTTGCTGCCAGGAGACACCAGAAATGAATGTAGCGTAGCACTCCTGCATTAATTAGGAGTGTGGGAGAAGGTTTTCCCCATGGTCTCTTACCCCGTTGGTAAGTGGAATGGCTGCAGGGTGAGATGAGGCTGATGTTGCCGGTGTTTGAGGAAGAGGCCCCTGCAGCCCCGTCTGTCCTTTGGGCCAAGCCGAGGCTGCTCTTCTGCATCAATTGCCGTGCTCCACGTGTGGATCTCTCCTCCCTGCCTGCAGGTTTTCGATATCCTGCCGCTGCACGGTGAGCTGCAGCCGGGCCAGAGCCAGCGTGTCACCTTCTCCTTCTTCGGCCACGCCAACACCGTCACCCAGGTCACGGCGCTGTGCAGGGTGGAGGGAGGCCCGAGCTATGAGGTGGCTCTGCGTGGGGAGGCCTCGCGCATCAGCTACCTCCTGGACACCACCGAGATCGACTGCGGGCTGCAGGTACCGCACGCTGCTCTTGTCAGAGCTCCTTGTCTCCACCCATGACCGGTGGGTTGCTGCCCACCCGGGGCGAGGGCTCTCCCCCCTTCCCAGCTGCTTTGCTGGCTCTGTGGCTTGGAAGTCCAACATTTGGGTGATACCTCCAAGCTGGTGTTTAATGGCCATCTCCAGCCCAGCCCAGCCCAGCCCAAAGCTGGGAATCCCTCCTCTTGGAGGTAAGTAACGCTGCCTCCTGGGGCAGGCAGGATCCCAGTGGTGATCTCCAGAGGGACGTGTCCCTCAGACATCCATCCGCTGATCTGCTCCTAAAGCCAGAGGTCCAAGGAGGTGCTCTCTCTTTTAATGCTCCTGATTCATGAAGCCAGGAGGCAGCTGACTTGGGCTTCCAGTCGCTGTAGCTGCAGAGAATGTCCCAGAATAGCCCCCACTGTACGTCTTTCCAGTTACGACCCCCACAGCTGTTTCCAGCTGTTGGCCCTGTGCGCGTTGCCCTGTCTCCCTCCCTTTCGGCTTGTGTTGTGCCCGCAAATACTTGCGTGCAGGTGCCTTTTCTCCTGAAGTGCTTCAATGCCTCCTCCTGTGTTTCAGCTCGCTGTTGGGTGACACCTTCAAGTGCAGAGGGCTTGTGTCCCCTACTTGGTTTGTTTCTGATCTTTCCACGGTTGTTATCGCACCTCTGCCACAAATAGCTGTTCCTGTGCAGGGCTCAGAGGTACCCTGTGGCCGCGGGTTGCCCAGGTTAACGCAGAGAGCCCAGTGCCCATCTCTCCTGTGCGCTGCCTGCTTCTGGGCTGTGCTCCTTTGCTTTCAACGCAATGGAAGAGGAATGACATTCTCAGCAGCAGACGTGTGCCTGTAACTTCCTGCTCTTCTGTCCTCTCCTCAGGTGTTTAACAAAGTCACGGAAGCAGCGGTGACCCTGCAGAACAGCGGGAAGCTGGGATTTGCCTTTGTGGTGCTGAGCCCCGGCACAGGCACTGCAGCCAGCCCTCTGCCTGGCGTGCCCCTGGTCGTGCCTAGCACGGTGAGTAGCACAAGGGCTTCAGCCGGCCTGTGTCAGGCTGCCCAGGAGAGAGTTCTGGGGGAAAACAGGGGGAATGAAGACACAAGCCCCGTCCAAAACCAGCCAGGAGAGACAGGGCTGTGAGCGATTGCTGCAGATGCAGAGGAGGTCCATCGAGCCCAATCCTAATGGAGCCGCTGAGTGGCCTTGGCCGCCGCTGGCTCTGCTGTCCTACAGCAACCACCAGTGGGAGGCACGAGTGCTCCGGGAGCTCTTTGGAGCTGAGTGCTGAGCTCCTGGGTTGTGCCATCACTGGAGCATCACTCCATTCCAGCTTGTCGTCCTGCCTGGGTGTCTCAGAGCTGGAGCAGTGTTCCTGCCTTGGTGCCCTTTTACAACGGGAAGAGGAAGCCAAAGGGCCAAGTGGCTTCCACCTTCCTCAGCGCCTGTGCGTCTGAGGGATGAGATGCTGATGTCCTGTCCTGCAAGCTGCTGCCAGGAGCTGCTGGCCCTGCTGGAAGCACAGGCCCTTCGCTGCTCTTCCAGAGCAGCTGGTGCAAAGCTTTGGTTTGTTGTGCCTGGCTCTGGCTAGCAGAGGGTAAACCCTGTCAGCAGAAGAGCTGTGCTCATGCTGAGCAGAGGGCAGCCTTGCGAGGCCTCTGAAAGACATACTGCATCTTGGTGTAGGAGACTGGGGCGTTTGGATCCAAGAAAGCTGGAGGTAGTGATGTCTGATATCAGTTTCCTTATGTATGAGAACCTGTCTTGCCTTCTCAGCGTGTCTGTCATGTGAGCCATCCCCCCACTGAATCCTCTTTGGTACACTCCCTCCCTCCCTCTTCTGTGCCCTGCAGGGTTACGCTGAACCTGGCAAGCAGCAAGTGCTCAAAGTCTATTACCTGCCAGGAGTGCCTGGAGTCTTCTGCAGGGCTTTCCAGATCCAAGTGGGTCACCTGGAGCCAGAGAAAATCACGCTGAAAGGAGAAGGGACCTTTCCCAGGATCCACTTGGACCTGCCCAGGAACATCAAAGGTGAGCACTGCCTGTGTGCTCGCCAGGAAGGTGCCCTGGCTTTCCCTCGTGCCATATGCCCATAGGGCAGCTCACAGGCACTTCCAGCAGGCCTGGAGGTTTCAGGGCTGTCAGGCAAACTCAGCCCTCTGGTTGCTTCCTTAGTCTCTGGCAGACAAGCCCATGTGGGCTTTGCCGCAGGAACCATCCTGCACAGCTTGCCAGAGGTCTGGGAAGATGATGGCTGGGCAGAAAAGCTTGGGAAAGCTGTAAGAGAGGCCGGCAGGGATTTTGACAGGGTTGGGTTTGCATCCCGTTTGGTGGCTGAGATGCACCTGTGTGGCGAGAAAGACGGGTGGGGGTGAGAAGCAGCAGGATCTCCTTTCCCTGCATTGCTGGAGCAGTTTGTGTCCGGGTGTCGGGGGAACGGGGCTTCTCGTCTTGCGTGGGATTTGTGCTGCCCCACTGCTATTGGTGGTGTTCTGCGCTTTCAGGCAATGCCAAATATGAGAAGATCCTCCAAAAGGCCAAAGAAAAGGTGGACAAAGGCAGACAGAGAGAGGAGGCCATTGCTCTGGGGGAGGCTGTGGCAGGCGAGCCCCGCATGGACGACTCGGGCACCGTGGTGAGTAGAGCTGCTGCCCTGTCCCGCACGTGCCACCCTGCTGCGTGTCACTGGAGCCCCTGCGCCCCACGGCACCTGCCCAGGGCCCTGCTGGCACTGGGGGCCTCCCTGCACAGCCCTGGCAACGGACTGTGTCAGCTCAGCGTGCCCCGTGGGCTGCCCGCCTCTGGGAGTTGTCCCCAGCTCCTGACTACCCCAGGGAGATGCTAAAGGCTGTGCTCAAGCAGTTGGGTTTATGGGGCTCTGAAGGACACACAGGTCGGTGCAGGGGGGTTTGTTGCTCACCGGCCAAGCCCTGCCAGGTTTACTGAGCGTAAAGCGGCAGCCTGAATGCCCCCTGAGGCTGTGCTGTGTTCTGTCATCTCCAAGAGGCTCCAGCTCTCTCATGGTTCCCTTTGCAGGAGAGCTTTTGTGCAAGCTGCTTTGGCACTGACTGGAGGCAGGGCCATACTTGGAGCTTTGGAAGGTTTCTGGCTTGCCTGTCCGTCTGTCCAGATCAGCTTTGATAAGTGGGCAGGCAGAGGTGCTTGAGTTCATTTCTTTGGAGATACGATCCTGCCTGAGAGAGCAGGGAGTGTCACAGACACTGAGCAGTGAGACAGAATGACTCCGTCGCCCCTCTCAACAAGAGCAGGGTGGGATCCTGCACGTGAGACAAGCTTGTGCCTTGGGAAGGACCTCTGCTAACCAGCCCCTGTGTTTACTTTCCTCAGTGGGATGCTGAGCTGCAGATGCAGATGGAGGAGATGCTTATTGAGGAGCATGCCTTGGAGCAGCAGAAAGCTCTCACGTCCCGTCCTGCGGAGGACACTGCCTTTCACCAGCGTGTACATCGGAGGCTTCTCAAGTTAGTAGGGACTCCTGTGGCCTGTCTCCAGGGGCCCCGAGGGTAACAGCCAGCAGTGCAGCCCTGCTCCTGAGAGCTCTTGTGTCTCAGAGCTGGAAATAGCTGAAGACTTGAGAAAGGGCCTGATGCTGGGAGCTACGATGTGCTCCCTGTGGGCAGCTCGGTGTTCTCACTTGCACAGTGCTACCCTGAGCTCTGGAGGTGCTCCACTCCCCACAGTTGCTGGGTTCTGTTCTCAGAGCTGAGGGGGTGCAGAGCAGCAAGCCCTTCCAGACAGCACAGGCACCGCCCCAGCTGACCAGCTCTGAAAGGGGCATCTCAAAGCTGGCGTCGTTGCGCCAAGAGGGGTCTGTGCTAAGCAGGAAGAGCAGGGAATGGTCCAGATCCCTTATGTGCTTTTCCAAGTGGGATTGCCTGCAAAAAGACCCTCTCAGCAGTCTTGTAAGCGTTGGTTACTGCATGCGATAGTGTCAGGTGCTGCTTTGGGGACAGATGTGGTTGCAGAGCAGTGGAGGTATCCTCTGCAAGGAAATCCTATGACAAGGTCCTGAAGCAGTTTCAGGCTTGGGCCGAACACCCGTTTAGTGGTTTCACTGAGACCAGTGGAGATGCAGTGCACTTCTCTGCAATGGCTTTTCACAGCATAGGAACTGTGTCCAGTACCCACTTGAAACTCAGCCGAAGATCCCACTGGTGGCTGATAAATCCTAGGCCCTGCACTCCCCATGATTTAGCCAAGTCTTATTACTGGGTGCTCAGGCCTTGGGTTTCCTGAGCTTGGGTTGAGCTTTCACAGCAGTGAATACGCAATTATCCACTCCGTTTGCTTCTCCACCCCACGCCATGCTGGGCTTTACTGAGTGTTCTTACTCCTCCTTTCAGAGCTGAGCTGCCCGAATACGTCCTGGACCTTGGCTATGTTGTTCCCGGTGACATCCACACACGCATCGTGAAGGTCACCAACACCGGGCACTTCCCTGCATCTTTCCATGTTGATGGATATGTCCTAGATAACACAGGTAACCAGTGGTGGAGAGGCTTCACAGGGGCTTGAAGGAGCTGTCTCTGACACATCAGCTGAAGCCATTGGACATGGGGAGATTTGAGTACTTCCTTGGATAGCTTTTTCCTCCTTAGTGCCCCCCTGCTGGGTGCCCTGTTAAGAGCCTGAGTTGTGGCGATCAGTGCCCAGAGACCTGGTCCGCGTGTGGCTGCCCTAAAAACTCATTGCAGGGGCCAGAAGGGCTGATGCCCTCGACCGCCTCTCGGCCTCTTCTGAGTTTCTTTGTGCACTCTGAGGGTTTATGTTGCAAGGAGAAGGCCCCTCTGTGGTTCGGAAGTGCTTTGCTTAGAGTTCATAGTGCTCAGCCTTTCCTGAAGGGATCCCCCATCTTCTGTGGGATCTTCTGCTGTATCGAAACAGGCTTCCCAAAGAGGCCTTGAGGTAAGGCTGCAGCTCCGTCACGTGGTGACTGCTGTCTCTGAGGGGTGGTCAGGCATCTCTCCTAAGCCGCTGTCCAGGGAACAGCAGAGCATTCGGTATCTTAGTTGGAAATTCTCCTTTGGAGAGGTCTGTGCATCCTTCCCTGAGATGCCCGCTGAAGAAATTGCTGGAGCTCCTCAACCAATGTGGTTCATTTCTACCACGCAAGCCCTGGGTTCTGGCTGTGAAAATCCTTTTGCTTTGGGCAGTGACAAGGGGAGAAGAGCAGCTTCTCTGGAGGTGCAAAGGAGTCTTTCACGGAGCTGCCAGCCAGGACAGCCCTGTGGCCTTACCGTGCTTCTGATGTTGCTTCCTGTTGCTTGTGTATCTCAGCTGCTTTATTTTCCTGTGTTCAGGCTTCAGCGTGTGCCTGGACCGTGTGAAGCGCCTGCCCTCCTGTGAGAGCAAGACATTTGAAGTGTGCTTCGACCCACAAAGTGCCAGCCGGCCTCTGGGAAAGGTGGATGTGCTCCTGCCCATCAAGGTACTCCAGCTTCTGGGGCAGGCAGCAGGTTGGGCACAGCAGCGAGTGTCAGCCGGGCTCTCAACTGGATGCTCTGTCCTTCTCTAGGTCAGAGGAGGCCCCACATCGCAGGTCCGCCTCCGTGCCATCGTGGCTGAGCCGTCCCTCAGCCTCTCCAGGGACAGGCTGGAGTTCTCCGCTGTCCAGTGTGGGCAGTGCCAGGAAGAAACCATCCAGCTCCACAACACGTTCCAGGTCCCCTGTCAATGGTCCATCAGCGTGAATGAGCCTGTTAAGGAGGTAAAGCGCAGACAAGGTGTAACACGCAGCTTCTCGGGTGGGTTGTCTTTGCCTCTCTTGCCTTTCCTGCCCCTCTGGCTGCCTGAGCACTTGGGCTGCAGCTGGCTTGAGGGAGCTTTTGAGGGTACAGAGCAAGGCTGGTTCACCTGGGCCTGTTGACTAGCTGATGCTTCACTTGCCTGCCATCTTCACCCATTCCTCTTCCTCCTCTGAGGACACTGCCTCCCCATCTACCTGCCCTGCCAACACGTTTGCCCTCCAGTTCTAGGCAGTGGTGGCCACGTCTGGGTGGGATGAGGGTGCTCCCTGCACCGTGCCAGCATGTCGAAGCACTGCAGGAGCCGAGGCTCTGTCCTCCCAGACCAAGGAGACCTCACGCGAGTGGTTTCTGTGCACAGGTGAACAAACATCTGCCGGCGAGCGAGCATCAGAAGCTGCTCGAGGAGATGAAGTCTGCGCCCTGTGGCTTCGAGGTGCTGCCGTCAGCTGGAACGCTCGCTCCAGGACAGCAGTGCCATGTCCAAGTCCGTTTTTCACCCACGGAAGAGGTGAGATTGGAGGGTGTCACCCCCAGGAGGTGTGGCAGGGCAGTGTGGTAAGGGGAGGCCAGCAGAGGGAGCGGGGGATGAGCTCTGCCTCCACATGGAGCTTTCTGCCAGCCCTGTGCCCACCGTGCCTCAGTTTCCCCTGCACATTCCCACGCAGTTCGGGAGTCACCTTAAATGATGGAGCATTGCCAAAGGCAGTTTGCATGTGGACACCGTGACTTGGAAACTGGCAGCGTGTGACAGGATGGACGCAAGTGCTTCCATGGCAGGGGACAGTCCCAGGGATCTTTGAATTGCTCGTGGAGATTTCACCGTCTCGTGTCTGGCTTTGACCAGAGCCGAGCACTGAGCAGAGAAGACGATCCTTATTTGTGTCCAGTGAGAGCGCAGCTGCCTCTTTCACACAACTGATGTTTGCCTGGTGCTGCAGTGCCAAGACTGTGTCTGAGAAAGCAGACCTTTCTGATGAGCGTTGCGCTCCCCCATGACTAGGTGAAAACCTCTGACAGCGCATTTTAGATCCACCTGGTAGCCAACTCTCCAGTTACAGTCCACAGCAGGACTCACCGCAGTTACTCAGAGCCATGCAGATGCTGTAGCCCCTGCTCTAAGTAAATACCTCTTTTGGGTTCAGCTTAGAGGTGCTGACAAGACCCCTGAGCCTGGGGCGACTGTTGACTTGGAGGCGCTGTCACCTGGGGCTTCACGGAGGAGCTTTCTGTGCTGCTTCTTTGCAGAAGTGCTACCGGGGCGAGCTGCACATCCAGATTTGCCAGAGCAGCCAACGCCTCCAGGTGCCGGTCTTGGGACGTGGTCTGGAGCCACGGCTGGAGTTCAGCCCCGCGGAGCTCGAGCTGGGACCGCTGCTGCCACAGAGCCATGGGGAAGAGGGGACAGTGGTGGTGAAGACCCCCTGTGAGGTTTACTCGCTGGAGTTTGACCAGCAGCGCCTTGCTGAGGAGCAGGTGAGAGGGAAGGTCTGTGCACACTCCTGTAGATTCCCAGCGCTCCAGCATTCCCAGGCTTGTGCCAGGGAGACGGGGGGATGGCTTGGCTGGGGAGTCTGTTCACGTAGTGAGGGTCAAGAAACTCATCCTGTCTATGGTTTCTCTTCCCTCTCTGCGCAGCTCCTACGGACACCGCAAGGTGACAACAGCCACAACAGCTTGTTGCTGCCTCCCTGTGCCCCGGCCGGGAAGCTGACCGGTGAGGCCCAAGGAAGGGGCATAAAAGTGAAGGTGAGATGAAATCTAAACGCTAAAACTCCAGGTGGCAAGCAGCATGTTTTACTCATTTCCTCATCTCTTCCCCAGCCTACCATGGTTTGGGTTTCTGCCAGGAGAGTGGCAGAAAACCTTTTCTCCTTCTTTCCTTTTGCTTGATATCGGTCCCTGCCGCCTCAGGTTGACGTTGTGGATCCACCGGGAAAGGTGGTGAAGCTAGGAAACGTCTGCATTGGGCAGACGGTGAAGAAGATCGTCACCATAGCCAACAAGAGTGCAGCCCCTCTGGCCTTTCAGCTCAGAGTCACATCCACCGCGCCAGAGTTGCAGGAAGCTGGGGTAAGGCCCTTTCCTTCTCCGCAGAGCACTTTGGTGTGCCTGCAGGGGGCGATGAGGCGCTGTGGGTGGGAGCTAGTAGCCAATGAGAACTGTGGGCTGCCCTGGCTGCCTGTGCCTGCCCTGTCCTCCCTGCTGGCACTGCTCTGCCAGCAGATGCTTGCAGTGTGAATGCTTCAGCTGAGCTGGGTGCCAGGAGACCCGGAGAGCCAGAAGGGAGAAGGCGGCACAATTCCTCTAAGCTGTTTTAGACACATACATCAGGATGCAGCCATGTATTTTAGGTGTGGAAAGGTGAGGGAGGTGAATCTTGCAAGAGGGAGATTTACAGCTCTGTTTGAACTTCCCTGAAAGCTTTAGAAGACAGAGCTGAGCTCAGCGTGACCAGGTGGACACGTGGCAGAAACACCTTTGGTATTAGCTAGGAATGCCTAGGAGGGAATGAGTGGGAGTGGGGCAGTGTTGGTGGGGACAGAAGAGGAATTGGAAGCCTCTTCCGTGAGTCTGATGAGGGAGGCTCCACAGCTCGCTTGCCAGATGAAATAGTCTGCCTTCATTTCTTGGGGTAGGTTCTGTGCTTGAAGCCCAGCAAGGAGCTAAAGCTGAAGCCCAGAGGAGACAGAGGCAAAGTGGAGGTGACCTTCTCCCCGAAGCGCCCCATCCAGCCGTTCAGCGGGGAAGTGCTGCTGGAGTGCGGCGGGCTGGCGCGCTCCCTCTTTGTGGTGCGGGGCTCCTGCCAGGGCAGCCTCGTGAGCTTGGACCAGGAGCAGCTCAGCTTTGGAGCCGTGGTGCAGCAGAGCTACACGTGGCGGCGCGTGGTCATGCGGAACGCGGGCGTCACAGGAGTCAGGTAAAGCAGAAGCCCGCCCCCTCTGAGGGCTGAGAGCTTGGATGAGGGTTGTGTGGGGCCGTAGTGTGCCCAGATAGTTCCCCTGTGCTTCTCCATCCCGGTGGAGAGTTGTGCAGCCATGGCCGTGCAGTCAGGCCCTAGAAGTTAGCAAAAGGGTACAAGCCCCCTTGCCTGTGGGTGCAGTGGGTCCTGCCCAGCCTGAAGCCTTATTGCCAGGTGGCTCAGCATCAGGCCTGAGATGTGGTGGGAAAACCCACAAGAGACTTAGAGCCTCACACTCAGACTTACCCTGCCTTCAGAGCTCCCCGTGGCTAATCCTTCTTTCCTGTGCTTGTGCTTTCCTGGGCAAGGTTTACGTGGGACGTGGAGAGCTTCAAGCCGGACTTTTCCATCAGCCCCACGAAGGGTTACATCAGCCCAGGGAGGGATGTCCCCTTCGTTGTGACCTTCCGCCCCTCGAAGCTGAGCCAGGCTGTCCAGTACGAGGGGCTGCGGTGCTTCATCCAGGGCAGTGAGGCGCTGCGGCTTACGCTGTCAGGATCCTGCGTGGAGGCCCCTGGCCCCAAAGAGGTAACGCAGCAGGGACAGGATGGGCCCCTGGAGCCCAGCATTTGCACCACATCTCTCGCAGGGCAGGAACTGAAGGACACTTGTGAGCACAGACTTGCTCGTGCCAGAGTATCCCAGAGAGAAAGTGCTGGGCAGGATTGCCAGAATTCCTGAGCCCTCTCATTGCCTTTCTCCCCTGTTCAAGGTGCTGCTCCTGCAGTGAGCAGCTGGGCTGTCGTGGCTCTGCACTGCAGCATCCATGCCATGGGAACACCCTGCCGGGCTCTTCTGAGACCCTCCCCACAGAGCCACCCCGCTGGATGCCGGCACTGCACCCGCAGCCACACTTCTCCCCCCTGCCGGGCCAGGGCTAGGGCATTCAGCAGTAGGAAGGGGCAAGGCATCTGCATCCAGCCCCTGGGAGCGGGCAACTTGGCAGCTGTTGGCTCTTGCTCCCAAAGAGAGCGTGGAGGTCCTCTTCATCCTGCCCATGAAGGAAGGGGCTGTGTGGCTGCAGATCTTGTCCTTGCACTGGAGTTTCCTTTCAGGACTCCCCGTTTCCTTTCAGCCAGCATGCGAAAGGCTTGTTCTGCTCCCTTCTTCAACAACAAGCAGCTGGATTTACTCCAAAAGCTATGGCCAAAGTGTAATTTTTGCACGTGACAAGGGAAAGCTGCTCCCTGTGCTCCAGGTGCTGGTGTAGAGCCAGCGTGAGAAGAGTGGGAAGGGTTGTGGGTGCGAGCCAGCAGCCTCTGTGCTCCTCTGTTCCAGACCCTGACTTTCAGCTGCAGTGTGCGTGAGAGGCAGAGCCAGACCATCCTCCTTTCCAACCCAAGCAACGAGGCCTGGACCCTGCAGCCCATCATTGAGGGGAAGTACTGGAAAGGGCCTGAATTTATCCATCTGGAGGCCAGGCAAAAAGAAAAGGCCTACCAGGTCACCTACAGACCCCTAAGCATGAGCTCTGAGAACAAGAAGCATCAGGTACGTGAGCTGTGCCAGCGTGCTGAGCCTGGTGGCACGACCCTCGTAGCTCCCCCTGCTTTGGGCAGGAGGCTGGAGGAGATGACCTTCAGAGGTCCTGTCCAAGCTGAAGGTGTCCTGTGCTCTCTGTTGGAAGCTGGGTTTTGTGGTGGCTGGAGGCCAGGCCCGGGCAAAGGGCAGACGGGAACTGGGGAGTGACCCCACAGGTGTTGGAGCAGCTAAGCTAACAAGGCAGGCTTTCTGAAGGGCAAGAAATGAAGTTTGTTCTGCGCAGCTCCTGGTTGCTGCTTGTGGCAGCCCAGGGGGCTCAGAGACCCCCATGCTCAGTGCACAGGCTGCACAGGCTCTCCAAGCCCTGGGCACGACCACTTCTGCCAGCACCACCTGGCTGGTGTCCTGCAGCTTGCAGGGAGCAAGAAGGGCAAAGGTGCCCTGCAGTTTCTCAGTGCCCCCCTGGCCGTGAGCAGGCAGGTGGGAAACGAGAGAGATCTCTTGACAGTCATGCAGGAGCTTTGGGAGGAGCCCTTCCTGCAGGTCTCAGGCTGGGCACATGGGGGTGACTAGCCCCTCTGCAATGTTTTCTGTGCCACGCCAGCGACAAGCTCCTAAATGAAAGGGGTCAGTTGAGAAGGGCTCTGGGGTGCTGGAGCTGCTCCAGTGAGAGCCTCAGGCATGGAACTGTCCCGGGGTGCTGCAGAGCCGACTTGTCCTATTCGTTGTCTGTAGGGCTCCATCTTCTTCCCCCTGCCGGACGGGACAGGCTTACGCTACCACCTGGAAGGAACTGCTGAAGCCCCCCGGTGTTCAGGGGCCATTTCCCGGCAGGTTCCATGCAGGAGTTCCCACACGGAGCTCATCCCTGTGTCCAACTGGCTGCACAGCCCACAGAGGTGAGTCCAGCCCAGGAAGTCTGGTCCCATCAGCAATCCCTGCAGCAGCACAAGGAAGGAAGCTTCCAGTGCCTGGAAGCGCCTTCCTGGAAGCTTTTCCCTCTCCTTGGCCATGTCTGGCCATCCCCACGTTCTGCCTGTGCAGAGCCATCCTGGAGGGCTTTCCTCCAAGGGGGATGAGAGCTGGCGCCCTGTGCCTGAGGCACTGAGGATGAGAGGGGCTGTATTGTACCCCCACAGGATGGGTATCCTAGGCGAGTCCTTTCTGTTGACCTTCACTGCATCCTTCTCACCCACAGGCTCCTGGTGGTTATTGACATGCTGAAACCAGAGAACGTGGAAAGCAGTTCTGTGCTGCAGGGGTGTTCCTACATTGACGTGCCAAGCTCTGCAAAGAAGGACTACCAGCTCACCTTCTTCTCCTACAAAGAAGGAGTCTTCAGGGCAAAGGTGAGTGAGGACACTGGTCTGCAGGGCCCTTCAAGGAGCTGTTGGCTCACCGAGAAGCTACACGCCTCTTTTCATACCTCCGTGTGCACGGGTCCTATGAAATAGCACACGTGCTTTCTCTGGTCTGGCACTCTTCCTCGGTGGGTGCTCATAGCCATTCCTGGAAGCAGGGCGCTGAGCTCACTGGGCTCTTTTGGGTCTATTTTCATGTGTGCAGTGAGCAGCACTTGCCTTTCTGTCTGATTCAGGTGACCTTCCTCAACGAGACAACCGGAGAGTACTTGTTCCACGTGGTGACTTTCAAGGTGACGGCTTCGGGACCCATCGGCACTGTGAAAATGAGCACCGCTGTTCGGCAGAGGGTGTCCTCCACCGTCAAGGTGGACAACCCTCTGCCTGTCCCGGTGACGTTTGACGTCACCTGCGAAGTGCCCGACGTCAGCGCTCCACAGCACTTTACTGTTCCTGCACAGTCGAAGGTAGGAGCAAAGCTCCTCCGGCTCACTCTGCTCTCCCTGCTCCTGGCTAGAGGGGGTGCTCTTGAAGGGTGATGCCTGAAAGGAGCCCTCTGGGGCTTCTTTCCGTGGTGGCAGCTCCCTGCCGATGATCTAGAGAGGGAGCAGGGTGCGAGAATATCCCCAGTGGGAATCCTCCTGCGCTGGTGGAGTCTGCCCTGCTGCCCCCTGTAACACGCTGCCACTGGGCCTCACGTGGCAGGTCCTTGTGCCACGTGCCCCTCGTTCAGTGTGGTGCTTCTAGCTGTGAGTGGCTGCAGGACAAGCCTCAGCCCACGGCCGGGTTGTCTGCAGCCTGGATTGACAGGAGGCGGTGTGTGCCCTGGGGCTTTCTAGGGTGGGAAGCTTCTAGCATGATGCTGGAGGGCTCTGAGCTGTTGGGATCTGTCCCTAAGTGAACCGTCTCCCAGAAGGAGCAAGGCTGTGCCCGAGAGAGAGGGAATCAGAGCAGGGAAGGCGGCACAGCCTTCCAGCACTGCCTGAGCACAGCAGGGACCAGCTGCCCCCTTCTCAGGCTGGCGTGTTCCCTGCCTCTGCCTGACGCAGTGGCTTTTTCCTTCCTTCCTTCCTCCCAGGCGGATCTTGTCTTGGAGTATCAGCCCCTGAAAACGGGTGAGAGCACCGGGCACCTGGTGCTCCAGAGCAGCGACTTGGGCTCTCTGTCTTACAACCTGCAGCTGAAAGCCATCTCGCAGAGGCCAGAGAAGCCCGTGTATTTCCGCGCCACGCTGGGCTCCCGTCAGACCATCACCACCAAAATACGGAATTTTGCCCAGCAGAAGACCGAGTACCTGCTGCAGGTGAGCCCGGGCTGCCGGGGCTCTGGCTGGCAGGCAGCTCCTCTGGCCAGCACCAGCCCTCTCCACCAAGGGGTCCAAGTGCCTCTGGCTTGGCCTGGCAGAGCCAAGGTGGCCACGTGAGCCCAGGGGTCTTGCCACTCGTGTGGGCTTGTTGCCAGCTGCACTGTCCTCCCGTGTGGGCGCGTGTCTGCTGCCCTGGTCGGAGCTGCTTTTGCAGGCCCTGTGGTGCCTGGGCTTGCTTCCCCCTTGCAGCCCAGGTCTGGCAGTCAGGGGTCTTGGGGCTTGGGTGCAGGGTTGTCCCTGATGGGCACGTTTGCACAGTTGTCATGCCCATTCAGGGCAGGCACTCACCAGGGGTGTGGTGTGGGTGGGAGAGGCCAGGGCCAGGGGACCATCGTGTTCTTCCCGAGGTGCTGGCTCTGCTGTTGTGACCCGCCCTCCATGGTCTCTTGTCTCCCCTGCGCAGACCGACTGTGCCGACTTCCAGACGGCAAAATCCATCAGTGCGGCACCTGCTGGCGCTGGGGGCTCGGACCTGAGCGTGGAAGTGACCTTTGAGCCCTGCCAGCTGGGCGAAGCCAAGGCCACGCTGCAGCTCAGCTCCGCATTGGGCGGGCAGTACCGCATCCCACTCATCGGCCTTGCACTGCCCCCTGAAGCCCAGGGCCCCTTCCTCATCCCAGCCGGCGGCTCCACCTCCATCTCCTTCAGGAACGTCTTCCCGAAGGCCACGGCGTTCCAGTATGCAGTAAAGCACCCGGCCTTCACCGTCAGGGCCCCCGAGATGCTGCGCGCCAAGAGCAGCACCACCATCACCGTCTCCTTCAGGGGCGGCCGGGCTCCTGTCACCAGCAGGCTGGTGGTCTCTTGCCCTGGGGGCTCCTGGATCTACCACCTCCGGGGCCTGCCCTCCACCCTCAAGTGACCAGCTGCCCGCGGCCCTTCCCGCCACGTTCGTGCTCTCTGGAGCAAATAAATTTCATTTAAATCCCTCCCACACGACGTCCTTGTCTCTAAACGGGAGAGACATGAATTTGCTGGATGGACAGCCGGTGGACAAGGAATTGGCTGGATGACTGCGCACAGAGAGTCGTGGTCAATGGCTGAATGTCCAGCTGGAGACCTGTGACGAATGGAGTCCCTCAGGGGTCGGTGTTGGGGCAGACCCTGTTCAACGTCTTTGTCGGCGACACAGACAGTGGGATCGAGCACCCTCAGCAAGTTTGCTGACGCCACCGAGCGGTGTAGTGCAGTCGATGCGCTGGAGGGAAGGGATGGCATCCAGAGGGACCCGGACATGCTGGAGAGGTGTCCAGCCTCATCAAGTTCAACAAGGCCGAGTGCAGGCTCCTGCCCCTGGGTCAGGGCAATCCCAGGCACAGCTGCAGGCTGCGCAGAGAAGTGATTCAGAGCAGCCTGAGGAGAAGGACCTGGGGGTGGGAACATGAGCCGGCTTCAGCGTGCGCTTGAGCCCCGAAACCGCCTGTGTCCTGGGCTGTATCACCAACAGCATGAGCAGCAGGTCAAGGGAGGTGATCCTGCTCCTCTCCTCTGCTCTCATGAGAACCCCGCGCGGAGCACTGTGTACACTTCCGGTGTCCTGAACAGAAGGACATAGAGCTGTTGGAGCAAATCCAGAGGAGGGCCGCCATGCTGCTAAGGGGGATGGAGCAGCTCCTGTACAAAGACAGGCTGAGAAAGTCGAGGCTCTTCAGCCTGGAGAAGGGAAGGCTGCGTGGAGAGCTCATAGCAGCCTTCCAGTACGTGAAGGGGGCCTACAAGGATGCTGCGGAGGGACTCTTGGTCAGGGACGGTAGCGACAGGACGAGGGGTGATGGGCTTAAAGTGAACTGGAGGAAGTTCAGGTCAGCTAGAAGGAAGAAATTCTTCACTGTGCGGGTGGTGAGGCCCTGGCACAGGTTGCCCAAAGCAGTGGTGAATGCTCCATCCCTGGCAGTGTTCAAGGCCAGGCTGGACGGAGCCTTGGGTGACACGGTTTAGTGCCAGGTGTCCCTGCCTGTGGCAAGGGGGTTGGAACTAAATGATCTTAAGGTCCTTTCCAACCCTAACTATTCTCTGATTCTCCGATTCTCTGACTGTGTACATCAAGATCCCGTGGACTGAGTTGGTGGGGAACTGGAATCCAGCTGTTTGGAAGTATCCCCCCAAAAATGTGTGCGCACCCTTCCGCGCAAAGGCAGGTCTCTGAACTGAAGGAAATGCATGTCCGGTGGGTCCTGATGCCCCATATAGGCTGGAGCTTTTTTCTTGGCAGACACAGGGAGGTGATGGGAGAAAGGATGCTTTGATAGCAGCTGCTCCTTCTGTTAACAATAAAGGATGCGGTTTGGCGCGTCTGTTATGATTATTGTTATTATTATGCCTACTGCTTAATGGCAGGAGTTTCAAAGTTAGGAATGGCACTTGTCCTTTTAATGGTGAGAATGCTGCTTTGTCCTGTCTCTCTTTTGAGCCCAGGTTTCGGAGAGAAGTGACACTTAATTTCTGTTGTGACTTTTGGCATATGTAAGGAAGCACAGGAGGAACGTGTTTAACTTTGGGGAGATCGTCTGATGACTCCCACCTTCGCTGAGGCTGCCAGGTTTTGGCAAATGTGGTTTGGGGTGAAAGCTGATGAAGTGTCTCAGTATAAGTCGGTTGTGATGTGCCCGAGAGTCGTGCAAACTTGAGGTCAGTTTAGTTTTGCAGCCCTGCTGTTGCAGGTTTCCAGTGAAGGACAGATATGTAGGCCCGGTGATTAGCTGTGAGCGACATGATTTTTCTGAAACCAGAAGTTTTTTTGGAGCCAGCGTAACATTTTGAAATCAGTTGCCTGAGGCTTGGATGAATTGGGTACTCCTCTGAGTGAAAATGCTGTGGGGATTTTGTTCTGAGTTGCATTAAAGCTGAGAGATGTGCTGCTTGTTTTCACTGATTTTGTGCCATGTTTAGAGTCGTTTGGCTGTGCTAAGGTTGAGGACGACCGTGACTGTGTGGTAACTGTAAAGGGAGATGAAAGTTTTACGTGATTCCGGGAAGCAGGGAATGTCCATGCTAGGAGAGATTTCACATTGCTGGACACATCCCTGCACAGTCCGTTTGTGCGGAGGCGTTAGGCCGGGGACACGCAAAGTCTCTTTCACCTGAATTTTGGCGTGGTTCTGTGCTTGATCCTGCCGATGACCCATGTGGTGTGCTTTGAGGAGTGAAAGGGAGAGGAAAGAAGCATTCTAAAGCATGTAGAAATGTGGCAGTATTCCTGTCAGCTGCAAGCGCTGCTGGGGAAGCAGATGCTGGTTGCCTTTTCTCTTCTAGACGAATGACTTTCACTGGCAAGACAACTGCTGTGCTGTGAAGCTGCCAGATGGACCTGTAGGTAGACTTGGGGCAGCGGGGATGTCATGGGGGGAATTTGGGAAGGCAGAGGGAGCCCATGGTGGCAGCAGGGACCGAGCAGGGCTTTGGAGGGATGTGGCGGGAGGTGCTTGTGTTGCTTCTCTCTTCAGGAGCAGCTGTTTCAGGCTTACCTGGATGATGACGGTAACGAGAGAGGGGTTTTGTTGGGCCTACGTCCCCAGGAGGGGTGCACTATGCCTGCCCTTTGTTTTCACTTTGTGCCTGGTGTTTCTAGGCCTTGAAATTGTGCTGTGGGCTCAAATGGACAGTGAAGTCAAGGAGGACGAGCGCAGGATCAGTTCTCAGGGAGACAGGAGGTGTGTAAGTTGTGGTGTCTCGTAGCTTTTGTGGGAGACAAAGAAGCCTGGTGGGCCAGGAAGAGCAGGACTAAGGATTGGCATTTCTAGAGGATTCTGTGCCTTCAGAGCTCTCTGTAGATGTCAGCCAGTTTGTCTGCTGCCGTGCAAGTGCTGCTCGCTGGGGAGGAGAAATCCTTCTCTGCCAAGTGGATGCTCCTCCCCAGCTGCATTTCAGCTCCCTTTGCCAGGGAGGCTGGAGAAAGGGCTGCCCTGATGCGGCTGATTTTCCTTGCCCTGTTCTGGTTTTCTTCATCAATAGAGGGCGCTGAAGACACCAGCTGGATGCTCGGTGCCCTTCCACGTCCCTCTTGAAGGTGTTTAGGTGGGTGACCGAGGCAGGAGGCAGCAGCTGTAACCTGACTGCAGATGTGATGGGCATCGAAGCCCACAGCAGATCTGGACTGTGAAACCTTGTGTCCCCCGTGGGACAAGACCTTGCTTGTAGGCAGTTGCTGGAGAAAAGCTGATGTGTCATAAAGGTAGACGTTAGTTTTCCTGCGCATTATCGTCTGTTCTACCCGCCAAGCTGAGGTGCTTTTCTGTCTGCCTTCAGGACTGCTGCAGGCACCTGTTTTAAAGACATGTTGGTCCAGGCAGCGTGCTGAAAGGTAAGTTAAGGTTTGTCAGCCATGCTTGTTGCTCCCAGTGAGTTAGTCTGGTAAAAGATACCGTTTTCTGCTACGAAAGCTCATTGCGTATGTTGTTTGAGGTGTTAGAGAGGCTGATTACAGAGAGAGGGGGTAGATCAGGCTCTCCGTAGTACCCACAGCACTGTGTTGGGTGCGAGTTGTTTGCCAGCCCTTGTGACTCTGCTGCTCCCAAGCAGGTAGGGCTGGCCTTGCCTCACAGGTAGGAAAGTTGGTTCCCTGTGAGATCAACCCCCTTGCCTGGTGCCTGGCAGAGCTGTAATTAGACAAGCGCAAATTTGTCACCTGCTGTGTCACCCTTGGTCCATCCACCTCCCCTGCTCTTGGAGTCCCTGTGCTGCTTTGTAAGGGAGAGTTTTGCAGGGCTGCCCTGGGGACAGGAATGAAGCAAAGGCCCACCCCCACAGGAAGGGTGGTGGCTCTGTGAAGCTTCTCTTATGTTCTTGGGATTAGGACATCACCTGGGTGTGCTGAGGCTTCCTGGAATGCTGGAATACCCGAGCTACAGGCTGGGAGCTGGGAGCGTGAGATTCCTGCAGGCCCTGCTGGGGATCTCAGCTCCCATACAGGGACTTTGCTCCAGGGTTTGCTGGTGCTGGGAGGCAGAGGCATGCTGGAAAGAAAGGCTTTGGGCATCGTGGCTCTTTGGGCCAGCACAAGCACCCCTTGCTGTTTGCAGGGACGGGAGGCTTCCAGACAGTCCTCATGTGTCGTCTTTCCTGATGGCAGACAGGAAAGGACTGTCCTTTCCTGACAAAAGGAGCTCTTCTTGACCAAGATTTCGTCTGCTCCTGCTGTCTGTTGCCCACCTGAAATCCTCCTTGTCTCCCGATGGCCTTGTTGTCCTTCCAAGAGCAGCCAGTTGTGCTCCTGCTGCAGTGGGGAGAGGGATGGAGTCAGGATGGGCCAGTGGCTGGCAGCCTCCGGCTTCCTTTTCCGTTTCCATCCATCCCCTCTCTTCCCTTTTAATGAGAAGACTTCCCAGTGTGAGAGGAAGTCACCAATGGGGTACTGGGGTCCTTGCTTTCATCCTTGGCAGGGAGAGGCTGCTCAAATGAAACCTGCACCCCCTTGAGCTGCTCCTGTAACAGACCTTGTAATGGGAAACAAAACCCCTGCAGTGAGGCTGACGGCTCCAGATCGAGTGGGTCTGTCCTGCAGCTCTGAGCCTTGAAAGTCAGAGATGCTTGTGTCGATGGTCACAGTTGCCAAGGTGGCTGCTCCTGACCCACTGGGTGCCTGTCTTTTCATCTTTTTATCCTCTTTCTTTGGTTTGTTTGTTTGTGTGGTTTTGGGTGTGGCTGCTGTCTTGTCTTCTAAAATCAAAGCCCTGGCTCGGGTTGCAGCCCAGGAGAGCCTCTGCAGGGCTGTTCTTTGACAAAACTCCCAGTCTTTTTGGCAAAAGACTTTCAGGTACAAATGCAGTCAAAGAGCTGGCTAAGCAAAAGGCAATGCAGTGGTCCCTTCTTCAGCGAGCAGCGATTGCTTTGGGGTTTGGCTTGAGTTGAGAGGGTTGTGGCTGTTGCATGGTTGTAATGGGCCTGTGAAGGCACCTGCCTGGAGCAGGTAAAGCCACATTCAGCTTTGCTTTTA